AGTTAAATAAACTTAAATATGCAAGTTTTGGGAGACTCCGTTACTCAAATAAATTGAGGCAACATGTTTACTCAATTTCGTTCAGTCAACTTATTAGGATTTTTAGTGTAATAGGTAACTCGTTTTTGTTTAGTTTTTATTTTATTCATTCCCAGATGAAACCCATGCCAACACAGGAAAAACATGCAAACTCCACACAGAAATGCCAACTGGCCTGGGACTCAAACCAGCAACTTTCTTGCTATAAGGCGACTGTGCTAACCACTGAATCACTGTGTTGCCCTGTTTAATTTGCTGGCAGCTAGCTCTCTGCAACTCTCACATGGTCGCCCACTGAGGCTAAGCAGGGCTGTGCCTGGTCAGTACCTGGATGGGAGACCACATGGGAAAGCAAGGTTAATGCTGGAAGTGGTGTTAGTGAGGCCAGCAGGGCTTAATCTGCTGTCTGGGTGGGTCTTAACACCCCAGTATAGTGAAGGAGACTCTATTGCTTAGTGAGCGTCATCTTTCCGATGGGATCTGGTTGTTAAAAGTCCCAGAATGTCCTTTAAAAAAGAGTAGGGGTTTAACTCTGGCATATCCTGGCCAAATATGCCCACTGGCCTCTGTCCATCATGGCCTCCTAATCATCCCCACATCATAATTTGCTTCATCACTCTGTCTCCTCTCCACCAATCAGCTAGTGCGTGGTCTGGCGCAATATGGTGATGCTGCACACTGGTGTTGGATGAGGAGATTCCCCTAATGTGTAAAGTGCTTTGAGTGTCTAGAAAAGAGTTATATAAATATAAGGAATTATTAATATTAATATTTCATTTGTATTATTTATTATTTTTAATTTAAAAGAGAAGGTGGCTCTTCATTTAACACTGCTTCCTTTTACATGAGACTGGTGGAGACACATTGCCCACACAATGCTTACATAGATTGAGTTCAGTTCTTGACAAGCATGCATTACAGTACTGAACATGATGAAATAATGTGTTTTGTCCATCATAAATAATGTGCTAATACTACAAGCTGTATACACTGGCACTCATGAGTTTGATTGGCCCAGTAATAGGTTTTTAATTGGATTTGATTTGTATTCTCTCTTGTACGGCATGAGAGTATTGTGAATTGAAGTTTTTGATTAATCACTTTTTTCTGACTAATCGTGTTTACATGAACACATCTTGGTCTTGTCGAGGTGCAAAAGTGGATTTGTGTGCCACTATCTGCCACGCTACACACGTTATTACCACTCACTTATTATCAGTGATGAGCACACAAAGAAATGAATACAAGAAAATGACTCAGCTGTTTGGAAGGCAATTTCACACAAATGATGCCCGCGAGGAAACTTGCTCAGGGACAGAGGCTCAATTGAGGAGGCACATTTGTTGTTTGCAAGCAAGGACGTTATCAGGAATTTTTTCAGACAATTATTTCCAAATTGGCATTCTCATCTATTGTGTGCGTGTGTGTGCGTGCGTGCATGTGTGTGTGTGTGTGTGTGTATGTGTTTAATGCATTTCAAATAAGAAAACTGTCATTTCAGTGGATATCTTTTTTTCATAGATGTTTATACAGCTGCATTAAGAACTCTCTCTCTCTCTCTCTCTGTATGTGTGTTTATACTGTATATAAAGTTAAAGTCAAAATTATTCACCCTCCTGTATTTATATTTATTCATTTTTTTTTTATATTTCCCAAATGATGTTTAACAGAGCAAGGAATTTTTCACATTATTTCCGATAATATTTTTTCTTCTGGAGAAAGTTATTTCTTTTATTTCGGCTAGAATAAAAGCATTTTTTTAGAATAACCAAATTAAGGTCAATATGATTAGCATGCTTAAGCAATATTTTTATTTGATTGTCTATAGAACAAACATCATTATACACTCACTGGTCACTTTATTATGTAAACCTGTTCAACTGCTTGTTAACACTAATTTCTAATCAGCCAATCACATGGCAGCAACTCAATGCATTTAAGCATACATGGTCAAGACGATCTGAAGAATCATCTTGAGAAAGGTGATTTAAGTGACTTTGAACCTGGCATGGTTGTTGGTGCCAGACAGGCTGGTCTGAGTATTTCAGAAACTACTGATGTACTGGGATTTTCACGCACAACCATCTCTAGTGTTTTCAGAGAATGGTCTGAAAAAGAGAAAATATCCAGTGAGCGGCAGTTCTGTGGGCGCAAATGCTTTGTTGATACCAGAGGTCAGAGGAGAATGGCCAGACTGGTTTAAGCTGATAGAAAGGCAACAGTAACTCAAATAACCTCTCATTACAACCGAGGTATGCAGAAGAGCATCTCTGAAAGCACAACACATCAAACCTTGAGGCGGATGGGCCACGCAAAGGTGCCACTCATTTCAGCTAAGAACAGGAAACTGAGGCTACCATTCTTACAGGCTCACCAAAATTGGACAACAGAAGATTGGAAAAATGTTGCCTGGTCTAATGAGTCTCGATTTCTGCAGATGGTAGGGTCAGAATTTAGTATCAACAACATAAAAGCACAAATCCATCCTGCCTTGTATCCACGGTTCAGGCTGGCGGTGGTGTGATGGTGTGGGGGATATTTTCTTGGCACATTTTGGGCCTTTTAGTGCCAATTGAGCATCGTGTCAAGCCCACAGCATACCTGAGAAATGTTGTTGACAATGTCCATCCCTTTATGACCACAGTGTACCATGTCATAAAGCGCAATCTCTAAGGAATATTTCCAGTAACTTGTTGAATCTATGCCACGAAGGATAAGGCAGCTCTAAAAGCAAAACTCGAGAGTCCAACTCAGTACTAGTAATGCCTAGTTCAGACTGCATGATTTTAGCCCCGATTTTGCCTCGCCGACAGGTTTTGAGAAATCGCCGACAAATGCCTGGAATCACAGGCAAATCGGTGCTCGTGCACGTGAGTAACAATCACACAGTATGAACTTTCAAAGACGCGATCTGAGAGAATCGCCGATGAGTCGCCGATGCCTGTGAGATATTTGGCGTGCTAAATATCTGGAGCTGTCTGCGATTCAAATCATGCCGTGTGAATTGAGTTTTGACTGAAAATAACATCAGCGATGGCCTACAGCCAATGAGAGAGCAGCTTTCACTTGTGTGTGTGCGTGTGTGTATACCTGCTGCAGGCCAGCGGGAGGCTGGGGAAGAAGTTAAAAGCGCTCTTTTTCGGTTTATTTGGACCCACGAAATGGAGGAAAAACTAGTGGAGGTTTGACAGGACTCAGGAGCAACCGTGTCTGTTTGACGTTTCATACAGAAAGTAATTAGTTTATTATCAATGTTGAGGAGAAATGGCTATAATTCCATTTAAACCCAGGTGAGAAAACATGTACATGTTCTACCTCATTAAAGGTTTCTTTCTCATTATGTAGTTAATAACAAAAGATATACTACGTGTTTTTGGCTGTGAGACGTAGTTTGGACGAAATTGTCGGCGATTCTTCCTATAGTAAAGTCATGCAATGTGAATGTCCCTGTCGCCGATCCGTCTTGCAGTGCAAACAAAGCAGCGACAAAACGCTAGCCCAAATAGTCAAGCAGTGTGAAAACATCTGTGACACGACTACTTTGAAAATCATGCAGTCTGAACTCGGCATAAGGTGTGTACAATGACTTGTGTAACTCGCCTGGTTAAGCCTTTAAATGTCACTCTAAACTGAATTATAGTGTAGCAGAGGCCAGTGAGTGAAGTGCTGTGCAGGTAAACTTCCTCTGACCTCTGAAAAAAAGGTTCTCTAGATCTTTAGCCTCCTTGGTAAAGCAACCAGCTCCCATGTGGAAGGTCACCGGTTCCATCCCAGCTCGGTGTGGGTTGGGTGGTGTAGGACTGGCGGGGTAACACTAGTATCTTGAAAAATATACAGTATAATATTATGTACTACCATCATGGCAAAGATAAAACAAATCAGTTATTAGAAATTAGTTATTATAAAATTATTTTATATTATTATATAATTTAATTATATAAGTTGGCTGGTCATTATGCTGTGGCGACCCCAGATTAATAAAGGGGCTGAGCTGAAAAGAAAATGAATGAATGTTTAACAAATGGAGAATAAAATATACAGGGGACTAATAATTCAGGAGTCCCAATAATTCTGACCATATATGGAGAAATTATATTATTTCTTATCAAATTCATATTTATACAGCATCAAAATAATGAAGTTACTTGAACATCTTTGATTGTGACTTTGTAACTATGTTTATAATTGTGGGGGAAAAGTCAATGAAGGTAAAAATAGAAGTTGGATGATTTTATATTGATTTTAGTGTCCCTGTTACATAATTGTGATGTGGATGTACTTTAGCTTACAACTGCAGAGTGATCATGTGATCCAGGGTCTGCTTCGGTTCGTTCCATATTTTCCTTTAGTTTTCAGCTGACCTGCAGGATGCAGACCAGTAGAGTTATTTAGGTAGGAACAAATTAATAGCGTCCCAAAAAGTGAAAAAAATTACACGTTTAACGCCATCTAGTGGTTAAAGGATAAAACATCAGTTATAAAATATACACTTTTAAAGAAGAGGAATGTTGCTGGATTATTTATTTAACCCAGTGCTTACATTAAAAAAATATTTGGTACTTTGTTAAGTTATTTTTAACTTTTATTGAGTTGTTTGTTAATAACCCAACTGGGTTAAATGTGTGGTGCTTTTGGGTTATTTTTAACATGTATTGGGTTATTTGTTTAAAAACTTAACCAGTTGGGTTAAAGAAATTGAATTTCAACAGTTTAGTACTAGTAATAGTAGCAATAGTAATACCAGAATGGAAAACAATTACATTTAATCAAAATAACTCAAATGGGTTAAAATTACCCATAGTTGGGAAGATGCTAAACAACCTAAAGTTGGGTTAATGTTGGAGTATTTTTAACCCAAGTACTTGAGTAATCTGAGCTAAAATGAATGACTACCGAGAATGGAGTTTCTCATAATAAGTATGACCCGATAGTGAATAGCAAACAAACAAGCCACTTGAATCTTGCTTTTTCGCCAAAACTGCGCACTTTTAATGTGTTACGTACAGATTATAAGAATGTGACCAAGTTCTTTCAAAAACACAGGCACATGACGGTGCTCCGTTATTCTTTTCCAAGAATAAAAAATCCTCTTAGTGCTGTAAAATATGAATCTCTTGAAGCAAATCCCGTAAACCGCTGTGACAACCTCTGGCATGACTTCCTGTATGTGTCCTCTGTCGCCGGATAGAGATTTTTAAGTCACAGGTATCACCACTAGAGGGAGCACTTGAAAATTGTAAGAGCCCCGCCTCAGTTCAACGTGTCGTTTAGTCCGACCAGACGAACACTTTCCTCCCACAACCTTCTAGCCACCAAGTCGTCTTTTCCTTCTGGAGCAGGGTCTTTTTCAGCACAGTCACTGCACAATAGATACAGAAATCGTGAAAAATCTTATTTGATGTGGAACTAATTCATTTTTTATTTTAGTTTTGCACACATTCCTTTCGTTTATATAAAGAGTTTGTGACCTATATGGCACTCAGCCACCAGAGGGCGATCAAAATATTTTGGCTTCACTTTTATTTGTATGGCCAGTAGCTCTGCCTCCATGCAAAAATGTGTGGAAAAACTTGATAATATATTTTTCATTCAATAAGTGAAAGAGAACAAAACCATCTCATCCTAAAAACTGGAATCAAATATCAAAAAGAACTACAGCCTAATGTTTGTTGATAAACTTTGATGTTGGCTTGAGAAAGGTAAGGTAACAAGGTGGTGGTTGGTGAGGAGAGGGGTGTCGAAGGTTTTTGATCCAATGTTAAGTCAATGAGATTTAAAGTCTCAGAAGTGTCTTCACTATTGTAAGTCAATGGGCAAATTTGGAGCACTCTTGCACCCCAGAGGTAAAACTTACACCCCAGTCTAATATGTAGATTTACAGAGCTTGGCAGCCTCTTCAACTGTGGAAATTCAACATGTTTCTGAGAATTTCTCTTTCAAAGTTATGATGCGTCAAATTTGGTACAATGTTAAGTCCAAGAGATTTTTTCAAGTTTCAGTTTCTTGAAAACCAAAAGCCAGATTAGTTCAAAATGACATAGCAACTCGAGTCAGACTAGTTTAAAGGTCTGGCCAAAGTTTGATGGTCATAGCATTAAAGCCCTAGGAAGAGGAGTTGGTCATTTTTTTCTCAGAAAAGGGGATAACAGTAAGTTTACAGTATGTTGGCTTTCTCAAGCCAATATTAAAATGGAAACTACTGCAGTAGTGGAAGTCACTGGGCCTTTTTTCTTATATAATAAATTACTTGAGCCTCATAAGAAGACAAAAAAACAAACAATGAACATGCAGTGCTAGACACTTTTGGCAGGTAATAACACTAAACCACTTTGATGACAGACTTTAAAGAGGCATTTAAGAATGACCAAAACAACATTTCAGATGTTTTACAATGTTGCCAATCCCATTGAAAGCATTTTTATTCGCATTTTCAAAGTTTATCCATGTTGTGGCCTTTCCATTAAGCACATTTTTTATGCAATATTCCAAAATGCACATAAAAATAGTTGGATGGACACATTGCTAGTGTTTTAGCAATATATTAACCAATTTGTATTGCTATTACCTGAAGTAGCTACCAGATTTGCTCTCTAAGCCCTCAGTAACAGCACAGTAGATCGTGGTTTGTGCTCCCTGCCAGGGAGTCTTCATCAGCAACATGGAGGGCAGATATAGTATAGTTTTCAGCATTGGAAACCAAGACAGAATATGGCGACTCAGGTCCGTTCGAATCACTCCTGGATGCAGGCAGTACGAAGAGACTCCTGTGCCTATATAAGCATCCAGTGGGACAGGATTTAAAATAACACAAACATTCTATTTTAGTTTGTTTTTAAAATCTCACTATTCACGCATTCAAATACAGGAGTTGTATTTGAATGGCTGAAATAACTGTCCTGCATCTTTGAAGGGCACTTATACCTAGACATAATTGGTAAAAAACAAACAAAAACCTGGTAATGCTTTAAGGCAGGGGTGTCAAACTCAATTCCTGGAGGGCCGAAGCCCTGCACAGTTTAGTTCCAACCCTGCTCCAACACACTTACTTGTAGGTTTCAAACAAGCCTGAAGGACTCAATCAGTTAGATCAGGTGTGTTTAATTAGGGTTGGGACTAAACTGTGCAGAGCTGCGGCCCTTTTGGAACTGAGTTTGACACCTGTGCTTTAAGGTGTCCTTAGTACATAGTAATACACAATAGTAATTAAAAATAAGCATGCATAATACATGCACCTAAACCTCAACCTGACCTTAACCATATAGTAAGTACATTTATTTAATCATCACTCGGTACTGAAATGAATAATTACACTGTTACAAGGACACCTTAAATCATAGTCTCAAACTGGCTTCCTAGAGGACCGCAGCTCAAGTTTTGCTCCAACCCTAATCAAAAAAAGCTGATTAAATCATTCAAGGTGATCAAGACTACTAGACACTAATAGATCAGCTGTGTTTCTGTGCAGAGCTATGGCCCTTCAGGAACTGAGTTTGAGACCTATGCCTTAAATCATACGTATCAGCACTAGGAGGAGCCCTTGAGATCAGGGAACACAGAGTCCTGAATACAAAAAGTTTATCTGAATAAGACCTGTTAACTATCTGGATTAAACATGGTCATAGTGTAATAAGAAATGTTGTAATATAACACTGTATTCTAAAATACTATCTACTTCGTAAAGCATAAACAAAGAATATTTGTTAATTGATTTGCATATTTACACAGCAATCTTGTATACTATACCAAGAGCTGTATTATATCCTACCTTTCATCCTTCGTGCAAGTTCTCTGGAGAAAAGCACGTTGGCCAGTTTACTCTGCTTGTAGCTCACCAAAGGACTGTAAGGCCTTTTGTCAAAGAACAGGTCATCAAATTCAATCTTTCCTGTGGGAAAACAGTGACTAAAATGAATATAGTAAGGTTTTTCAAACCAGAAAGTTCCTCGAGAACTAATTACTGTATCTTCCTGACCAATTTGCTGGTTGCATTCACACCATCACATTAGGAACTCTAAAAGGATATAAGCTAGATGACGGCAACATCGAATGCTGCATTCATCAAAAGGAGTGTTGTGTGTTTCATGACAATGAGAGATTCATCATTTCCATGCCTTGTAAACCTGTATTTGCTTTGGTGATTTTATTTTGTATAAAATAATTACTTTTATTCAGTAAGAATGCCATACGGTTACTGTAACTCTCTATTTATTATAGAGTCCTGAAAGAAATGTATCATGATGTTTAACATTGAAAATTATCAGAAAATGAGTAGCAAATCAGGATGTAAGAATGTTTTAAAGGTTAATGTGATTGTTTATGTGAAGTATTGATGATTTTTTAGATTTATTTTTGGCATTTTTGCCTTTATTTGACATGACAGTAGCTTGATAGGAAATGAATTGAAAAGAGAGAGGAGGGTAGGATCAGGAAATGTCCACGAACCGGGATTCGAACTTGGGATGCCTGGCGCACTGCCGCTCCATATGTTGATGTTAAAAATGCAAATTTACAGGAATAAATTACACTTAAATTACATTTTAATCACTGCTATTTTATATTATGATAAATATGATAATATTCATTCATTTTCTTTTCGACTTAGTCCCTTTATTAATCTGGGTTCGCCACAGCGGATTGAACTTATCCAGCATATGTTTTACGCAGCGGATGCCCTTCCAGCTACAACCCATCACTGGGAAACACCCATACACTCTTATTCACACACATACACTATGGACAATTTAGCTTATCCAATTCACCTATAGCATGTCATTGGACTTGTGGAGGAGGTCGCATCACACGGAGGAAACCCACATGAACACGAGGAGAACATGTAAACTCCACACAGAAATGCCCACTGACCCAGCCGAGGCTCGAACCAGCGACCTTCTTGCTGTGAGGCGACAGCGCTACCTACTGCGCCACCATGCTGTCCTATGGTAATATTAGTTTTTTTCATCAAATAAATGCAGCTGACCCCAAAGTTTTGAAATCCTAGCAATATAATCTAGTCTGAAAACATATATAGGTTGGATTTGCTAATGTTTGAAAGTCCAGTGCAATAAAATAAATTGTCACTTCCACCTAAATCAGGGGTGTCCAAACTCGGTCCTGAAGGGCAAGTGTCCTGCAGAGTTTAGCTCCTTTAACACAACTGCCTAGAGGTTTTTAGTATACCTAGAAAGAGCTTGATTTGCTGGTTCAGTGTGTTTTATTGGTGATGGAAATAAAATATGCAGGACACTGGCCCTCTAGGGCTGAGTTTGGGCACCCTTGGCCTAAATGGATTAAGTGTTATTTCATGTCACCATGTACTTATGCTCAAATTCTGACCAATCAAATGCTCTCTAGTACATGACTTGCCCCGCCCCCTTCAAGACGCTTCTCATTTGCTTTTCTTTTGATGTGCTTGAGCTCAACCACTCTCACTGGCAGAGCTGTGATTAAACAAAACGCTATTGGTTTTGTTTTTTTAAAGGGAAGGATCTATACTATGTCCCACTCTCTCTTCGTTTTTCAGTTCAGATTACGTCAAACATCGAATAAAAAATTTACATTTCAAAGCATTTACATGACCTTTAACGAAAAGAAAATTACCACCAACATGTGCAATACTGGATACGTTGACCACACGGCTGGGTGAGGATCTCTTCAGCATTTCTAGCAGTAGATTTGTCAAAAGAAAATGTCCCAAGTGATTGACTGCCAACTGTGTCTCAAATCTATCTTCAGTGACACACTTTGGACACATCATCACACCTGTCAGAAAAACAAAGATGAATCTCTCTGTTTCTCTTGCTTTTATAAATCAGTCTATGATGAAGTCTTACCTGCATTGTTTATGAGTATGTCCAGTCGTTCTTCTGTGGCTATAAACTCTTTTGCAAATTCACGGACAGAATAAAGAGAAGCCAGATTTAAGTGTCTGATGACTACATTGCCATTTCCAGTACAGCGACGAATATACTCAGCAGCGTCTTCAGCTCGAATCAGGTCCCGACAGGCCATCACCACTCGAGCCCCTAAATGCACACAAAGTCAGTGTGAACTGGAAGTTTGCTGAGGACTTGTTGATATACCCATTAAAAAGGAATATTGAGTAGGGGGCGGGGCTTTCTTTTGCACATCATTCTCTCATAGCAAACTTAACGGTAAGAGGACCGTGGTTAAGGTCATTGATATGCAGTTGCTATGGAAGCCCAAATGTTAATGTCACCGGAAGGACTGCTACTTGAAATGCTGTAGCAGTTGGTCAGACTTTGATTGTAGATTACCAAAACAAACATTTTCTTTCATTGGATCAACTTGTGCAGATTAATTATTTACTTTACGAATAACAATGTGAGCTAGCAAAATAAACATTGTAAAATTTGACTTCACAGGAACTTAAAAGGTCCACAATGATACCTTAGAACAGGGGTCTCAAACTCAATTTACCTGGGGGCCGCAGGAGGCAAAGTCTGGGTGAGGCTGGGCCGCATAAGGGATTTCACACAAAAAAAAGTCCTCAAATGTCATTATTAACAGTTTTAATTATTTCTTCTGAACATGAAGTGTCCTGAACATTAATAGAACATTGAGTGAAGGTTATGAACATGCTCGTCATCAATCTTTCTCTTCACTGCAGGCTTTGATGAAGTCATGATGGGGGTATGACCAAATCTAATTCTGTAATAAAATCTAATTCTTCTTTGTCTGTTCTAATTCAAATTGATTCCAGGTGTGGCCCACACACAAATTCTCCTGCCGACTGCCGGCCTCTCTTCAATTCAATCTTTTTCTGACCGCTGTGCCAGGGGTCAAGTCCTAGGGAAAAAAGTGGGGGAACTCACTCAAAACTTCCATTCCCTCACCTAAAAAAAAGGCGTATATATGTATAAATAAAACACCCCCACCCCACTCCAGTCACATCAGTCTGTACCAGTCTGTATCTACCTATAATATTTATAAGATGCAGGCTGTAGCTAGGTAGGTGGCAGGCTGCAGATAGGTAGCTAAGTGGCAGGCAGGGGTGGGAACAGCTTACCTTGGTTCTGGCCGGCGCGTCTAACAAAGGGGCGGGGTGCGTGGTGACGTCACCGGCATCCCCGCCCCTTTGTTTACACTGCGGGCGGGGAATACCAGTGACCGCTGTGTACGGATAGAATCAGCGGAGCGGGGAGAGAGAGCGAGAGTGGTCGGTGCGGGCCACAAAATATTGCACTGAGGGCCGCAAATGGCCCGCGGGCCGCGAGTTTGAGACCCCTGCCTTAGAACTTTTAAGGCACTTTTTAGATATTAATTTGTACCTTGAATGTACAAATGTGGACCTGTTTGGTCCCAAAGTGTACCTTTTAAAAAGGTAGCATCTCAGTGACAGCTTTTGTACTTTTATCTCTGATAGTATTGATAAGGGGTGCCTAAACTCGGTCCTGGAGGGCCAGTGTCCTGCAAAGTTTAATTCCAACTCCAATCAGACAGATTTGGGCAAGCTAATTAAGATCTAAAGCTGCGGTCACACTAGAGTTTGAGCTTGCGAAATTCTGTAGTACGGCGCTACAAAAAGGGGCGGAATTAACCAAGATGATCGATTGGTCTCACGCAGTCAAGTGATGCGATTTCGCTGGTCAGAGTTCACAAAGCTTAAACTTTACAATGCAGCGAACTACGAAACTTGACGCACAACTTAACATTTCCAGTCTGACGCATTAGCGTGCAAATGAATGGAAGTCTATGGGGAGAAAAGTGCAGTGTGACCACAGCTCAACAAGGCTTTCTAGAAACACTCTTGCAGGTGTTGGGGCGATTTGGAGCTAAACTAAACTCAGCAGGACACTAGACTGAGTTTGGACACCCCTGGTAAAGATCTTACAGTGTCATACCTCTATAAGCCATGTCTTTTGCTGTTTCCCTGCCAATCCCAGTGTTGGCACCAGTGATCACAACTGTCTTTCCATCCAGACGAGCATGACTTTTGCAGACCCCACCAGCTATCCATTTCCGCAGCAGCACAAAGCCTGTATGGAAGATAAAACCAAAGCTACATAAACAAAGATTCAAAATGGTTACTCTGAATGTTGAAAACCTGTTGTTATCTTTGTGTTTGTGTAGATGATTGTTATTTGTTTAGGGGTTGATCGCTTATGCTGACCAAGGGTGCATAATAATAGAAAATAACAAAACACATTATAACATAAAAACTTATAATTGTGAAATAATGGTAAAAATTCAAATAACATTTTATCAAATTTTTAATTGCAATGGAAAATCTTTACTGTCACTTGTCTTTTAGAAATCATAATAACCTGAATAACAAAAATAAATAGATTATATCAAATTAATAATAAATAGATTGATAATAAACTGTTATTTAGTTTCTGTATAGTTTCAGCAGGCCTTATGAAGGCAAATTTTAAATTGAAAGTTTACCCAACTTGTTCACCTCTATGTGTGTGTGTGTGTGTGTGTATGTGTGTGTGTGTGCATGTGTGTGTGTGTGTGTGTGTGTGTGTGCGTGCGTGTGCGTATAAAAACATGGTTTTACAGCTATACTTGCATTAAAAATGTGTTACAAACTTACAGAAAAACATGATTAACTCCAATTTACTAAAATAAAGTATTATTAAATAATAATTATAATATTTATATTTGTATAAATGTAAAACTATAGTTGGTTTGCATAAAATGAACACTGATTTAAATATAAAATAATGAAATATTCATTAATTGTTGTAGTGCATGCATTTAATGCCATTAAAGATTTAATTAATTAATTAACATTTCAGGGCCTTAAATTGTGATGCAGTAGAAGTTTTGGGACCAGACCCATTTTTTATATTAAAATAAGATTATAATAAAACTTCTGAAAGTACTAAAAAACGTTACTCACTGATCACCAGCAGCGCGAGGACAGCGCCATAGTTCACTCCGTCAGATGATGTGCCCGGATCCTTCATCTCGCATGCAGAAGTAAACAACATGAAGAAAACACGCTCACGTTGTGTCCTCTCTGTGCACAATGCTATATATAGGGCTTGACTTAAGCAACTTAAACAGAAGCTTACCTGCTCTGCGCTTCGACTGGTTATGAAACGTTTATTATGAAACGTTTATCTCGGCACAATTAAGAAATGATTAGTTGTCAGATTGTAGCTTAAATTTAGTAGGATATTCAGGGCATATTCTACTTATATAAATGGTAAAACTTCTATTGTGCTGTGGATATTTTGAATTAAAGAATGCAGCTTTAATTTACATTCGATGTCTTTATGATAACTTTCAGACTTTCTGATTCATAATGTACAATTAACTAAAGCAATCGGTTTAAACCAGTCGTTACTTCGACTATATATATATATATATATATATATATATATATATATATATATATATATATATATATATATATATATATATATATATATATATATAGTCGAACAAACGATTGTGTGTGTATGGACTGAACTTTTGAATGTTTTTGATTCACTAAAAGAACCGAGTCATAAGAGTCGTTTGATTTTGAATCGGACCAGTGGTCCTGCCTGATTCGTGCTGTGTTCTCGGTTGTTCTGAAAAGTGCGGTGAACTCTGCAGTGTGCTGTTCTGTCCACATTGGCGGATGAACCCGCGTTCAGAGCCATAATGAAACCGGATGTCGTGATCGGTTCCAGAATTTTTTTAAACTGAACGTTTTCTAAAAAATTACACTTATTTCATTTATCAGTGCATTGTGCATACCAGGGCTAAAATATGAATATTTAAGCAAATAATTTTATATAATAGATATTTTGTGTGAGCAATTTTTCAAAATCATAAATTGATTTAAGAAAAGACAGTTTGTGATGGTTTTGACAGGTCCTCCTCAAAATACTAACAGTGTGTTGAATAATTAAATCATTTCTTTATTAAACCAGCAGTTGGCTAGACCGTATAAAATGTTGTCGTTTGTCGAGAAGGACGCCATTTTCTTGTTCCAGTAACCACTCCTCCTTATTTCAGAGATTACAGCCAATCAGCGTTGCGAATTCAAAACAGGAAGTGGCGTTTTGAGCGTATCAACCAATCGCAGCAGGAGAAAAAACAGAACCTCTGCCCATTTAGCGCATTTATTCGTCTCGTCTGTGACGTACCGGCAGGCTTTGTGTTCTTTCAATATATCACGTTGAATATATTTCTATATAGACTATAATCTGGTAAGTATTTTTTTTACAAATACGCGCTTTAATTCACGCGTTAGATGGCCGTCTTTCGTTATGTGCGCGGAGGACAGTATGCGGAGTGCGCACTCAGTAGGCGACGCGCGAGGGGTTGCTGCATTATTTGTGACTGAGTTTTTGTGATAGACACAGCGCTGAGTCCTGTTCCGACCCAGTTTGTATTTCAGCCCTATTTTCTGTTATTGTACACACATCCAAGGCTCATGCTTTTGCTTCTATCAGTCAGATCATCTGGTCTCAGCCAGTGCATATCGGTGACCAGGAACTACTTTTCTCTTCGCCCCTGTCGGTTAGATGAAATCACACTTTTTTGGGAGATTTTTAGGAAGTGATGCGGCAGCGCTCTGAATATCCGATGTTAACCCCATTAATGCAGGATTTTTTTTTGTTTGTTTTAAATGTATATAAATACAAAATGTACTACTATTCATGTTTTATTCATATACTTATTTGTATAATTTACAGGATGAAGGGATTTTGTAAACGCCAGTCTTGACGTTAAAACTGGTCGGACCCGATTCCTGTCAGAAGGTGAGGGTCTTCAGTTCAAAAATATTTTTCACTTGTCTAATTTAAAATGAAACATGTTTTTGATTTATGAATACATAATGCACCAATTGTCATTTGTACCCTCACAGTTTGTAGATTTTAAACACGTTTACTTTCTTTCAGAAACATGGATTCGGATTTGTTTATGGAGTGTGAGGAGGAGGAGCTGGAGCCATGGCAACAGCAGTCTATGGATGAACCAGCCGGAAATGCTGAAAGCAGTACTCCCTCCGGTGTGTATTTTTGTAATATTTTTAATTATAGAGAAATTTAACATAGTTTTTAATTATCTTCTTAACTTTTGTTAATTATAGATATTCCAGAAATATATATATTTTACTTTAATAATAATTTTAACATCATTATAACATCTGAAACTTGTCGTCCTCCAATGTTAAGTCACTTCCACTCCAGCCCCGGTGGTTGATGTTCCAGCTCCGCCTAAGACCATGGTGATCCCAAGCCTAACGTCTGTAGTAAATGCGGCGAACACGGTTCCGCTGATCACAAATACAAGTGAGTCTCCTTTTCTTTAATAATTATTTACTCATTCACATGATGCTCCAGAACACAAATTAAGTTAGGAAGAATCACCTGTTTGTTTAATTTAAGAGAAGCAAACTGGGGATAGAGTTCAGACACTTCAAAATAACAACAAAAAAGACTTGTTTTAAAGAAATGCAAATGACAAAAAAACACAATTCTTTTAATTATGAGTTAAATGAAGAATAAAATTGTTTTTTATGATTTGTGTGCTATATACTCACCTGCCACTTTATTAGGTACACCTTACTAGTACCGAGTTGGACTCCCTTTTGCCCTCAGAACTGCCTTAATCCTTCATGGCATAGATTCATCAAGGTACTGGAAATATTCCTCAGAGATTTTGGTCCATATTGACATGATAACATCACACAGTTGCTGCAGATTTGTCGGCTGCACATTCATGATGCGAATCTCCTGTTCCACCACATCCCAAAGGTGCTCTATTGGATTGAAATCTGGTGACTGTGGAGGCCATTTAAGTACAATGAACTCATTGTTCAAGGATTCAGTTTGAGATGATTCGCGCTTTATGACGTGGCACATTATCCTGCTGGAAGTAGCCACCAGAAGATGGTTGTGTGTGAAAATCCTGGTAGATCAGCAGTTTCTAAAATACTCAGACCAGCCCGTCTGGCACAAACAACCATGACACGTTCAAAGTCACTAAATTCACCTTTTTATTCCCCATTCTGATGCTCGGTTTGAAGTGTAGCAGATCGTCTTGACCATGTCTACATGCCTAAATGCAATGAGTTTCTGCCATGTGATTGGCTGATTAGAAATTTGTGTTATCGAGCAGTTGGACAGATGTACGTAATAAAGTGGCCAGCGAGTGTTTATTGCAATTGTTTTAAAATCATTAAAATCATCAAAATTCGAACTTTTGCAAACCGTTTTCTAATGTTTTCTCATATTTTCTCAAAATTTGTAGCGAATAGAAACTTTTCAGTACATTGTTGTTGTGTAAATATCCTTAGAAGGGGAGCGCAAAAGTCATATCAACTACTAAAGTAGTAGATGGATGCAGTCTTGTTGACATTCAGCCTGCATTACTCTTGGTGATCAGTCATTTATTTTTTCAGTAACTCAACGTGCGGTTGTGCCGACTGAGATCCCTAAAGCAGTGCAAGGGCAGCCGGTCATCTTGGCACCAGGAGGAGGTGGACTGGGCACTGTGGCTCTGTCACAGGTTCTCCTGCCTGGAACATCTATTGCCAATGTTACCAACAGTCAGCCGATCTACTTTACCACACAGGTGCTGCCATTTCACCATATAGATTCCAGCACATCACTCAACAAAAGCACATTGTCTCAACAAGTGTTCATCTATGTGCGTCCTTTCATCTGATACAGGGTCTTCCTGTCCAGAATATCCAGCCTGGCCAGGGTCCAATGAGTTTAGTGCTGAATGTCCAACAAGGCCAAACTGTTCGACCGATTACTCTACTCCAGGGTATGTCAGTGTGCTCTTGTTATGGTCTTACGCTATAGTTCTGTGCATTAATTAACAGTGTTTTCTTTATGTCTTTTTTAAGCACCTGGCACACAAATTTTCAAACCAGCCATCGGAGCAACCCAAATAATTACCCAGCCTGCTCAAATAAGGGCTGGAGCTCCGGTTGTAAACAGAGCCCAAACGCCTAGTACTTTCAGCACAGTGCAGATCCCTGCTACTCTCACTTTTCGAACCACAAACGCGGTCACCCCAACAGCTGCCAGTTCTCTACCCATCGTATCTTCTACAACCATTACTCAGCCTACCAGGACCACTACTAAAATAGGTAAGAATAAGAATTTAATTGAACTTTTTAAAGTTAGATTTTTAATGCCTGATTCAAACTATATTGTTTTCTATCTATGTAATAATTCCTGTTATTAATTAGTTATTTATTTTTATTTTCATTCAGAAGACAGAACTAGTGACTGGCTTCAAAAAACAAGAGCCAGAGAAGGCTAATAAAACAACATGTTAACTATTTTAACTAGTCAGTTTAACTAGTTTATTATTCTTGTCAGAAAAAAACTTTTCAAAGAATTTAATCAAACTCAATTGAAATCGAATTGTCTCTTTCATTTTGTCATGTTTATGGAAGCTGTGTGTGAAAGAGCTTCTTTGTTTCTATTGGTCAGCATCACAGATGTGACAGAAACGGTTATGAAGGATCTTAAAAAAAAACTTATCAGTCTTTTTGTCACTATGTTGTAAAGCATCTCAGATGTTGTCCAAAAGGTTGCACATGATGAAATTCGGCGAAATTCAGATTGAGGGCAGGAAGTGGTTCTTCTACATAGGAATCGCTATCAAAACATCACAATATTTCTGTTTTATGTTGTTTATAAAGGTTTAAATCAGCAAAATAAAAAAATGCAGAGCAGCTTTTATAGACTTCTAAAAGTTTTTACTCATAAAGGGGGCAAAGTTCAAGAAACTGGCTGAAAAAGGCGGCATGTTTTTAATACATCTGTGTGTACAAACTTTTTTTTGAATGCGATAATTCGTTTGACAGCACCAATGAAGATTATATACAGGCCCAACTATATGTATAAATATATTTGACAAAATCCAGGAGAATATAAACAACGTACCCTGCCTTGTAATCGCTGCAATAAAATCTCTGTCTTGATTTGAATTGTCTTTACTGGCGTTTTGGTGGAATATACAAGTGTAATGTCAACATCGAGATGCGCAGCAGCTGTGAAGTTCATTCCCTCTTACAAAAGTAAATAAATAATAATGCAGACTATGCATCCACGCTATTGTATGCTTTCACCCTTTATTTAATGATGTCTGGAAGATATCCGCATCGGGAAAAACGTTATAGTAATTTATAATAAACATGTTTTTGAGCCACTTTGTGAAGTGTATAATGTGTACAACTCTGCAATTGAATGTTACAGAATACTGTAGTGTAGTAAACTAATAAACTGTAATAAATAACATTAGTGTAAACTGTAGTGCATGCTGATGGTTTATTATAGTGAAGAAAAATGAAGCCTGTTGAATAATTAGTTTATTACTACAGTTGTGTTGTACCACAGCAACAATATAATCACTACGACAGTTCAAGTCTAGTAATTATCTATAGGATGCTTCCTAACACTTTTGTATTTACTAAAGTATTTTTCATGTAAAGTAACTACCTCAATGACAGGCAAATATATTTTAGTTCAGTAGATAACTCAGCCTTCTTCATGATATTAAGATCATGCCCAACAAATGTGATTATTTTCTATTTATGTCTCTTTTAAAACTCGCAAAACTATGGACTTTCCTACCTGTCTCCCATTCAGTTTTTTACTTCCTGCCCTTCATCTGAATTTTGCGCGTCACCAGAACCACGTGATTGAAAACAACCTATATGATGCGCTGTTTTGGCACCCGATGTCATTTATGAATCACCATCATCAGATTGATTGTGCTAAAAACATGGTAAAGGACATTTATTGTGTAGTCTGAACTAGGGTTGCACGGTTTACCGGTGCTATGGTAGTATCGTGATATTACGGCTCCAAAATACTGGCAGTGCCACTGTAGTTTGTAAACGGTAGTATCGTCATTAACGGTCCATCAGCAATACATAATGTTGCATGTGGAAAAGTCACTAAAATGCTTACAAGTTTGTGAAACAATAGACCATTTTATTTGAATAGTCTGTGGAGCCCTTTAAGGTTGCAAACTGTGTAGAATTCAAGCATTTTATGGTAGCCTATTACATGTTTTCAGATCAAATCTGAATCAGTTCATTTCTGTTCCTGTCAATATGATTTTGTAGCTACAACAACTGCGACAATATCCTAAAAAGAGCAACTCGCAAAGTAAAAATTTGAATGACTAAACTAGATCTACTACTAAATTTTGACCACTTCATAAAACCTAGTTTGGTTGGAATAATGCTAATTTTATTATTAATGCAAATTTGATTTGGTATAATTTGTATCTTTACTTTAATGTACTTACTTTAATTTTATTTTAGTGTATTTTTTGTTAGTCAGTTATCTACAAAATAAACAGAAAGAACAAATACATTTAAGTTGAAGTGACATGCAAGTACTTTTTTCCAATAATAAAGGAATCATAATTCAATTCAAGTAGGCCTATTACAACATAAAATATAGTATTTCTGAAAATTGTTTTTATGTCATGAATTTGAGTTATGAATTACAGTATCGCAATACTACTTGGTATCACGATACTTCAGCTTGTATAGTATCGTAACATGAATTAATGGTATTGCGACAACCCTAGTCTGAACCAGATATAAGAGACATATCCGGTAAATTAAATTAAATCATTTGAAATAAAGTTTTGTAAATGCCTGGCATTCTTCTACAAGATACAAATAAAGAAATCAAGTATTTAATAATTGTTTGCTACTATGTGTATTTTTCACAGTTGCTTGGTCAATCAGCATTCAGAATTACAATTATCTGTTTTAAAATTGAATTTATTTATATTTACAGTGACAATAAAGCAAGGAAATGGACCCCTAGACATGCAAAACCTAATGAATCTTGTGAAGTCTGTGAACCTTCCTGGTGGGGCTCAGGCGCAGACATTTGTAGTCATGAGCAATCAAAATACCAAAAATGGTCCTGTTGTTTCTTCTGCTGTTCCTATCATCTCACAAAATGTCATCCAAAGTAAGTTTGTTGTTCTGACTATTACATTGATTTCCTATTAGAGTAAAGCCATGCTGATAAATTCCAAATTATGTTTTTGCAGCGATCCCACTTCCAAATGCAACCTCATCAACAACCACCACTCATTTGTGTCCTCGTTGTGGAGCTCAGTTCAGAATGATTGAGGCTCTACGCGGTCATATGTGTGTAAGTACATACTTTGTGAGGAGACTGTAAATGTGTTTGGTCACCTAAAAAACGAATCCCTTTCTCTCTTAGTTTTGCTGCCCTGATCTGGTCCACATGACTGAAACAAGCAGTACCCCAACAGCTGTGAAACCCCCAGCAACACCACCTAAGAGTGCCTCTGTTGTGCCTAGTGCCAAGGTGGATAGCCCACCTAGCAAAACAGGAGATAGCCATCCCAGACTCGTCATGCTGGTTGATGATTTCTACTACGGCACATTTGAGGGAAATCGAGTCTATGTACCAATGGACAACTCAAAAGAACCATTATCATTCAGATGCCTGACCTGTAGCAAGAAACTAAAGAATAATATTAGGTACGATTATGGACTGATTTTAGAAGTCTTATTGTAAATATCTAGTTGAAAATGATAGGTTTTATTTTAAGTAATTTCCTAGTCTTTGTTTATTCTGTCTTTGATATGTTGGAACTGTGCCATTAGTGATCACTTGTTTTCTTTGAAGACTTATGAACCATATGAGGTACCATGTTGAACTGGATCAACAAAATGGGGAAATGGACAACCACACATCCTGTCAGCATTGTTTCCGTCGCTTTCCTACACCGTTTCGTCTGCAGTGCCACCTTGAGAGTGTCCATACCTCCATTGAATCATCTAGTAAGAACTATTTCTATTTTATTAATCTTTTTGTTTAAGGGTGCCACATACAGCATTTGTTTAATAAGTTAAATTGTTCTCTGATATATACATAGTAGGTTTATGGCTTTGGTATTTAAAAAAAAATCTCCAGAAACAGTTTTATAAGCACTTTTATTACTCCATAAAGTACCAACAGAATCAAAAGATCCATGATTTGACCATATATGGCTCGTGTGATGAATATTAATTACAGACACACAAAGAGCATTATCAAAGACAAATGTAAACCCTATCAGAGTAGCGTTAACCTATTTTGCTGACCAAATCTGTTGTGGATAAAGGCTAAATTCTAATTAAAGTTGACAAAAGAGAGGGGTGGAGATGTATGGTGTTGTACTTTGAAGCTATAGTCAAAGAAAACACAGCCAGGAATGATCAACCTCTGCATGAACAGATGACAGTTGAGCTGAATGTTTGTTGAAATATACACATCAAATTTCACAATAAACATGATAAATGAACAAAAGATGTAACTAAACACACCTCATGCCTCTTCAGAGTGAACATGACTAAATGTTTAATCTGTGAATCTTGCATTTTGCTTCCTGAGCCGATATTGAAACATGCTGCAGTAACGCACAGTAAACAATTCATACATGGTAAATATATGCTTAAATATAACTAGGGGAGGAAAATTATCACTGTTGTCTCTCCAGAAAACATTGTTGCAAACGCTTTAAGAGGCTTGCAAATATTAATGATCTCAGAGCTTTTTTTTAATGATCTCAGAGCTTGATGGCATGGCTGCTTGTCAGATCCGGATGAACGACCTAAATTAGATATACATGCAAATGCGGAGGGCATGGTCAGTGAGTCTCGTCACAATTTTGTGTTCTGATTGGCCCGTTGTCCACCTAGGTTTTCCACTTGTGGAATTTACATGAAAATGAGGAAACGGTGGTGTCTGTGGCTCACAGTATTCTTATTTCCATATGTTGCTCTTTTATTATTCCTCTATGCTTTGATATATCCAGATTTTCTCTATAGGCAACCTTTAAGGCATAAACTACAGTTCTAAAATTAAGGGTCTGTACAGTAAAAAATTAAAGAATATTTAACAAAACTACATTTGTTTGATGAATAATATAATAAAAAGCTGCAATATTGTAAAATTTGCTGTTTTAAAGCTGCATGAGTAACTTTATTTTCTGTTTAATAAGCAAATGCATCTTTCAGATTTGTTTTTGTCATATTTTGATATACATCTATAGATAAACCATTTCAGATCAGGGAAGTTAAAATGTATTCTGCTAAGATTTTTGTTATTTTTCTATTCTGCAATTTTTTTATTAGATAGATTGATAGATTGATTGATTGATTGATTGATTGATTGATTGATTGATTGATTACAAAAAACAAAGTGCTTGCTAGACTGGTTATGCTAGTTAAAATCTATTTAGGCCCAGTTCTTCAACAGACACACACTCTTGTCGTGCATACTAATTTATTTGACTAAATTCAAATAAGGAGGGGTCAATGAGGCAATGTTCAGTCCCAACAAATGTTTAGTAAAGTTCTTCATTCACCATTGTTCTGCAATGCTGCAAAGATAGTAAATGATAAAAGTTTGTATTTTGGTTTGCCACAGTGTCTATAAACTGCAGGACTCTCAATTTGTCAGCAGTTTAAGTAACTGTTGTGCTTTTGTGTTCAGCCAAGTGTAAGATATGTGAGTGGTCCTTTGAGAATGAGCCAGTGTTCCTGCAGCACATGAAGAACTCCCACAAACCCGGAGAGATGCCTTATGTATGCCAGGTAAACTAAACAAATTTGACTGACAAATGGATGAATCACAAGGAGAGTGGGAATATAGCATATAATGCCCTTGAAATTTTCAGGTGTGTGAATACCGTTCCTCCTTCTACTCTGATGTGTTTAACCACTTTCGTACCTGGCATGAGGATACCCGCCACCTTCTGTGCCAGTATTGCCTGAAGGTTTTCAAGCATTCCACCAGTTACCAGCAACATTATGTTCGTCATCAGGTAAGGATAGGAAGCATAAAATTTTAATTAAAAATAAAACTAATTAATGCATATAGACATTCAAGACTTTCACCAGGTTTTAATTTCATCATGGTTAAAAAAAACCCAAAAAAAACTTGTTTTACAGTTCTTAATGGTCCTCATCATTTGTGTAACATTTGTAATTTTTTATAGCATTGGAATCTTTGATTGTGTTTTAATATAGCACATTATCCTAAACAGTGATCACTCTTGTATGTATAAATCATAGAATTGGATAAAACCATCATCATCATGGAAGTTCCTTGATTATTACAGCAGAATGAAAGTATAGTTTTTAGCCACACCAAGTTAGATAATAGCAACTTTTCATTTTCTGTTGGTCTTTGTACATAAAGCAACTCCAGAATAGTCAGGTGGTTTTTGCAAGATCGAATACGCTTGCGGCCTGAAGTTAACGCAAATTATTTCTATTATTTATTACATTTCCCATTTATTGTATTTTATTAACATCTACTCCCACCCCAACCCTAAACCCAACCGTCACAGTACTGTAAAAATATTAATTATTGTTATACAGTGTCATAAAAAAATGCTACTATACTAATGTGCATATTCCACTTCCTGTCGGCTGCATATCCAATCTAGAGTTTACCTAGTCAGGCCAGATGCTAATGGTATCTGATTCAATGATCTATGCTAAGCTAGCTAAAAATGCTCCCACAAGACCTGGAGACTGGCTGAATAGATTCAAAATTCCAAAAGTTATATTTCCAAAAAAAAGTGGAGTGTTCCTTTAAGTCTTAATAGTCAATTGGGTTACTCTAAACCTTTTTTCTAAGACTTGAGATAAGATGGAGATGGGGCGATGTGGATGTTATTAGATAATAAAAAATGACTACAACAGCATACAATAATCATCGACAAAAAGATTAATAACTAATCATTCATTCATTTTCCTTTGGCTCAGTCTCTATTTCAGAGGCCACCTCAGCAGAATGAACCACTAACTCTTCTAGCATATATTTTATGCAGCGGATGCCCTTCCAGCCAGAACAATCAGTACTGGGAAACACCCATATACTTTCATTCACACACACTCTACACTTCAATTCACCTATAGCATGTCTTTGGACTTTGGGGGAAACCAGAGCACCCGGAGGAAACTTACACTAACATGGGGAGAACATGCAAACTCCACACAAAAATGCCAACTGGTCCAGCCGAGACTTAAACCAGCAACTTTCTTGCTGTGAGCTGATTAACTACTGAGCCACTGTGCCGCAATCTTCATTAGATGAGAGGATCAGAGGATGCACATTCATAGTTTTCAGTCATGTTAATGATGCAGCGGACATGTCAAGTTTCTGCTTGTTTCAAGCCATAGGCAACAATGTCTTTCTTCGTTTTTACTTTTGTTGAAGAAATTACCACTGCTTTCACCTCCTCTAGAACATTTGGAACATTTATCTTGCTTTAGTATTCTGTGAAAACATTAAATGTGTATTTATTTATTAATTTATTTATTAATCCATCATTTCTTAACTTAACAGACAAACTTAATTTCTACAATTATGTGGTAATTCTATTTTTCCTCAGAAATCAACAGTTTACCATTGTAACAAATGCCGTCTTCAGTTCCTTTTCACAAAGGACAAAGTTGAGCATAAAATAAATCACCACAGGACTTTCCGAAAGCCCCGTGAATTGGATGGACTGCAGCCTGGAACAAAAGTAAAATCTTTGTTTGTTTGTTTATGTGAGACTGAGAGTAAATTTGCAACAAGTGCAAAAATATAGTATTAATTGATTTATTTATTTTTATTCTTCATATTCAGGTGACCATTAGGGCATATGTTGGGAAAAAAACACCAGGTCAGTCAGCTTCAAAAGCATCCACTAATATTCAGAAGAATAGTATTAGCAGTTCACAATCGACAACTCTAAGTGGCGACCAGCAATCAGAACAACAGCAATCTGGGAAGAAACAGGTCAGCAAGATGTTTCAGTTCCTGTCCAAGTTCCAGGAGCAGAGGTAAGCTCATGTTATGAGATAACAGATAAACTGATCCATTTCCACTGGAAATTACAACTCTGAAGTGTTTACTTCTGGTTCTCTTCTTTCCAGGGCTCAACTGGGCAGACATAAGTGTGTGGAGTGCACTTTTGACATTCCAGACTTTGTGAATCACTACCCCACTTATGTTCACTGTTCACTCTGCTTCTATAGCACGTGCTGTTCTCGTGCTTATGCAAATCACATGATCAAGTAAGTTGAGTCAAACATATATTTTCACATAAATTTTATATATATATATATATATATATATATATATATATATATATATATATATATATATATATATATATATATATATATATATATAAAATTTATGTGAAATTATATGGCAAAGTGATGTAAAGCTTTAAGCATCAAAATTGGTACTTTGTATCGGTTGATCACCATGACAAGAAATCAGTACTTGGTGTTGCCTGTAAAAATCCTGATCGGAGCGGCTCAAATATATATATATATATATATATATATATATATATATATATATATATATATATATATATATATACAGAAGAATATATATGTACAGAAGAAAACAGTTTCATTGGAAATTGCAGCTTGAAGTTTAGTCACATATTGCAATTTATTTTTTTAATTTCAGCAATCATGTTCCTGGAAGGGCTCCAAAACCTTCTAAAAAGGGGCCTCCAAGGTAATGTAATATTTGGATTTTGAGTTCTGTTTTGCTCAGTCTGAAACTGTACCTTATGGGTATTTTGGTGTTCTTTTTGTAGCGTTGTGAAGCTGACTTGTGCAGGTTGTGAATACTCCACTCCTCACGGAAATTTGATGGCCAAACATCTCATCAAGTTCCCTGATCACTCCTACTGTTTATTCATGCGCAAAGGTGGGTGTTCTCTAGCTCAGTAGAACATTACAGCATACTTGTATTTTTACTGCATTTCTCTTACTGCATGGGCCTCTTAACCTGCATGCTCGTTTTTCTTTCTCTGCTTTCGTACTTCTGTAGTTAGAGGGTATCCAACTCTGTTGTAGGTGTCTTTAATTGCATGTTTATACTAATACAGCATTGACACAAAAGTAAAAATACAGTGAACTAAATTACTGGCATCATGGCATATTCATCAAATTTAACCTTTTCACTTACAAATTATCACTTATCATTGTGTCTTAACTTCTTACATGTGCAAAGGGCTCGGTACACAAACCCTGCTCATCACTGCATATGTATTTTCACAGATTGAATGTTATTTATCCTGTTGATAGACACCTACAATAAAGAAGGATTCTTTAGTCAACACATTTTCCGTGCATTCTTAGCTAAATCATACAATAGACATACGTCAATGGCACTTGCAAAGTGGCCCGTCTTGAGTGATATCCCACAATATGTGATGCTCAGCAATCACAGGTGTGGGGTATGAGCTCAAACTGTCCATTGTCAAAATGGACAAACATGGCCCCTTTGCACTTGGTGTGAATTCACAGGATTTACTGACAAGCCTTTGCGAGAGCACTCTGGATGTGTAATTGAGTATTACATACAAAAATCTACCGCACACCGCCTGAACTGGAGAATGTCAGAAGAAGTACAAAATAAAAATCCTAAAATGGATTAATTTAGAAACATGACAAATGAATAACGTCAAGGAGTAACCATCGGGGAGTTATCTGCTGCTTCTGAGCTGCTTATTATTTTCTTTTTCAAAAGCTAACTGACCTATCAGAACTACATATACATTGAGCATGTTATAAAATGGATTATTGGTGATGGTAAAGACTCCAAGGAGAAGACTAACTCTGTGTTCCTATAATCCCTCCCCTCCCCTACAGAGTGTTTGGAGACAGATATTGAGTTCTGCCATGTTGAGGAGGAGGTGGAGGGTCCACAAGGGGATGAAGCTAGTGATGTTGGGACACAGCCTGACTGGTTGTCCCTGAAACAGTGGAATGTGCCCAAAGAGGAAGGAACAGTGCCAGAGTTCATGGAACGTTGTGGCCCACGGCATATAATGACCAGGAATCATGATGTCCTCGACTACTTCCAGGTTCTGTTTCCTGATGCCCTCTTTGAGCTGATTGTTTGTGAGACCAACGCCTATGCCACTTATTGCTGCTCTTCAGGGCAGGGGGACACATCTTGGCACCCTGTGTCTGTACAGGAAATCAAAGGCTTTTTTGGTCTCTCTATCCTCATGGGGCTTCAAAACCTGGTGGAACCGGACTCGTACTGGACCTGGGAACAACACCAAGGCCGCTATGGCTCTAGAACATGGGAGCTGGTTTACAGGACCATGTCAGTGAATCGTTTTAAGCAGATCAGCACTTACATCCGAATGAGCAGCATGCTTGTGGAGAATGACAGCCAGAGTGCTGACAAGTTGTCATTTTTTCAGCCGATGCTGAGCATCCTGGAGAAAAGCATGCAAGAGGCCTACAGTCCAAACAAGTGCTTGACAATTGATCAAGCTTTCCTACCGAGCCATGATAAGGGAACGGCTCAGGAGAAGAGTAAAAATTCTCAGCCAAGGATATGGCTACTGTGTGACTCAAAGTCAGGCTTTTGCCATAAATTGCTGGTCTCAACACGACAGGAGAAGCACAAAGACTTGGGAAAATCAGTTGTGCCACATCTCACAGAGGGTCTTGAGGGTAAACATCACAACATCTTCTTGTCCAGCTCACTTGCCTCTGTGCAACTCATGAAGGATCTCTTTGATAGTGGTATATACTGCTCCAGCTCTGTCCTGCCACAAAGTGCAGTTTTGCCCAAGGAGTTTTGGGATGAACCTCCACTGGAAAATCCAGGCAATTTTAAACAGTATGAGTTCCCCCCACTTCTTGCCACTAGATGGAAAGATACCAAAGAATTGGTATGCCTCTCCACAAATGCCAACGCAGGCCATGAAGATGTGGTGTGGAGGAGGTCTCCCACTAAAATGGGTGAGCTTTATACTATTGAAAGGCCACAGGCCTTCAAGCTGCTCCAAGACAACATGAGAGGAGTCGATATCTGTAATCAGCTGCTGACGTGCAACCAACTTGGTGGGCTAGATCTTGACACCAACTGGCGGCGTCTCTTCTGGTTCTTTGTCAACTTGAGCATCATCAACTCTTTTATTGTCTTACGAGAGACCCGCAAAGACAACCCACCAGTGTGGCTCCCAGGGGGTCACTTTTCCCAGGCCGTTTTCCGTAAACGTCTGGGCTACCAGCTTGCCAAGTGTGCTGAAAGACACACTCTCCAGAACCAAATCCACAATAGCATGATTGAGCAACAGACTGTGAAAAAAGAAAGTCAAGAGGTGCAAGAAGAGGTCAGACATCGATTAGGCAAAATTACCAGAAGGGCGAGGAGATGTAAAGTTTGCAACTTGAAAAACATGCGTCATGAGAGCATGTATGGCTGCACCGCCTGCCATGCGAATCTGTGCAAGCGTTCTCGCTGCTTCTGGGAGTTCCATGGTTTCCCAACTAATTATCAAGGTTATAAAACTCAAATACTGATATTAAATATTTATAAATGTTTTATGAATGCTTGTTCTAGTTAATTTTATACATAATAAATACTTTTACAGTTTCAACAGCTTTTTAAATGGCATGTATTAAAGTGGCAATTAAATATTTATATTTAATTATATTTTTATATTTATATCTTAAAGTATTATAATTGATGTTAATTTTTTTTGTTCAGGTAGTGCAAAAGTTGGATTCGTTGACTCTAAGAGGTATGTATCTTTAAAAAATTTAATTAGTCCTAGTTATACTTAAGTCAAGTAATTGCAACCTGTGATGTATTCTTCCCCACATTTAACATGTTATCCAGATTTTAGAAAGTGTCACATTATTTCTCTTCCAGGGACGGCACAGAGCCAGGACTTAAACATAAAACAGAAATGTTGGAAAGAGGCCAGGCCAAATCCTCAGTGGACATCAGTAATGTTTCACAGGGTGCCACTGCTGGCCAGGACGAAGACGTGGACCAAGAAATGGCTCCTCTGGAAGACGAAGACACAGAAACAGACACTGATACGGTTGAAAGCAGCGAGGAAGTCCCACTTCGAACAGTGGCTAGTGAGAAAGAAAAGCGATCACTAACCAAACCAACACAGCCTGTGAGAAACAGAGAGGAGTCTTTGACTATTCACCAGCGGCGAATACTTCTTCTTGCACTATGTGCCGGGATCCAAAAAGCAGCAAAAGAGATGGACACCAAACCGCAGCTCATCAAGACCTGGATTCAAGACAAGGAGGATCAGTTAAATGAATGCTGCAGCAGTATCTGTGGAGAGGCTGTTGATCGTCTAGTACAGTGGGTTCTGACACAACGAGAACAGCAGCGTCCTATCAATGAGGCGAGATTGTTTGAAAAAGCTTCAGAGCTCCAAAGCCAGACCAATGAAACAAGTTCATTCCGTATTTCATACGAGTGGGCTGTGAACTTCATGATGCAGCACAAACTGGGCTTGGATACCTGTTTCACAGTACAAAGGGAACTCCCTAGTGCCATGGAAGAGAACTGTCGTTGCTTCAAAGAATTGGTGCATGGTCAAGTTAAGACCAACAACGTTCCACAGTGTGTCATTGGGGTTATGGACCAGCTTTCCGTGTTTGTGGACATCAATATGTTGAATGAGAAAAACAAGGTAAGACGAGACACAGCTATTCAGTTTACCGGGTCTGGGAAGCCTTTCGTAAAGATTTACCTTGCAATGCTTGCAAATGGTACGATGCTTCCTGCAGCACTCTTCACCAGTCACACTACGAGCACACTGAGCAGCACACCAGACACAGTCTTGATTATGGCCAAAGAGGAAGGTTACAAGGCAACAGAAGAGCTAGAAATTTGGGCCACCAAAGTGTGGAAGCAGCATCTCGACTCGCAGAATGAGAAGGAAGCGCTGCTGGTTTTGGATAGCCATCATTGCCTGACGTCTGAGTCCATTATTTCTACAGTCAGTAGCACCAAAACCTTCCTTCCAACCATTCCGGCAGGTTGTACATGCCGACATCAACCTTTAGAGATGTGCGTACGCCCTGTGCTCCAAAGGTTGTTTTTATCTCGTTGGGCACAACAGCCTAAAGAATCAGTTCAGCCTGAAGACCTGATGCAGCTTCTAGTATCCTGGTTAGACAAGGCCATGTCATGCTTCTCAAGTAGGCCTGAATTTATTCAACATTCATTCTGCTTGGCTCATCTGCTTCCGGATCAGGAGACACATACAGATTTGCCTGGTACTTCTGTGGAGTTGCTAAATATACTTTCAGAAGCAACACTGGGACCAGAAGTAGTAGATCTGGAGTCAGCAGATGAAGAAGAGCCAATGGACACACATTCTGTAGACAACGTAACTGAGAAAATAGATCTTACAGAGGAGCAAGAGGATACGGAAAATGAACTAAACGATGACAAAGCGAAAAACACAGAACAGCAAAAGGAAACAAATGATGAATGTTTGGAAATCGCAAGCGAGTCCACCGATTTCTCACATTCGTCGCCTGAGCATGAGACCCCTTCACACAACTCTGAACCAGATCATTTGTCGGAATCTGGTCTGGATGCTAACACTGATCAAACGGATTCAGCAAACAGGTGATATTTGATCTACTAACAGACGCTGGTAGATTTAACAGAAGGACAGGCCTTGCTGAATGTGACTGGTTATTTAATTTACAGCCTATTATTTGGTGGTGTGAAAATGGGGAGGAAAAAAAAAGTTTTTTAATCTTAAAAACTGTATAGATTTATAGGATAGACGTTGCATGATTGGGTTTTGCTAAGTTTTTCTACCTACTTTTATTTCTGTTGTTTATTCACTAGCATACAGTAATACAAAAGCTCCCTTTTTTTGTCTGTTGACAGACAATATTTACTTATATTCCCCATCCTCTGAAAGTTCATCACAGGTTTTTGCCTGTTTATGTTTTAGTTATTTCGAAGATGTAATGGGAGAAATTTGTTTGATAAGCCAGCTGCGACCTGTATTGAGTGATTTGACTCAAGCGTGTGGGTATTGGGTGGATGAAAGTATTGTTTGTTTATTTTTTGTTGTTGTTGTCCTGCCCCTCTCTTACAGTTTATGTGTGTCCAACGCAGGATGAGTATCAAAAATCATGCGATTTAAAATCTGATAACATTTGAATTGAAGAACGATACAAATGCTGTTTTGAATAATGCTATTTAAAATTATTTATTCAATGATTGACCGTAAATTATAGCCTATTATTCCATAGCTTTACAGATTCTGTTTGACATCCAACCTTATTGCATTTTATGACACATGCTACAGTTCAGCCTGTAAGATTGGTTGACAGACTATCTTGCAGCACTTCCATTTTGGTTATTTATGTAGTTATCATATACGTTTACCATTGAGAGAGCATTGATATTGAATGGAGTGTGATCAGTGAGTATACATTCAGTACTGATTTCAGCATCTGAATTTACTGTAGCGACCACATGATGGTGTAACTACACTCCAGGTGTCATCTATTGACATTCAATTCAAAGAGGTATTGATGCACTTTATTAGTGCTCTTCTATGTTTGTAAAGGTGTGTACTTTGATTTCATCTCTGTTTGCTGCAGCAATTTTGTGTATAATTTACATGTTGTGGGACTTCTTGTACAGTCTGATTGCGAAGGTAAGTGGACGTTTATAGAAATGAGGGTCTTTTGAATGTGCTGTTTTGTTTAAACTGCAAAGAGGACTAATGAATAATTGATCATTGAAAAAAGGCGTTGCATATGTGACTTCCCATTTATTATTATTATTTTTTTAATTTCTTGTGAATAAAATTTAATAAACAGTGTGTGCATAAAGCCTTTTTTCTCACACGTTTATGTTTTATGCAGATTTGGTACATCATTTTCAGTCAGAGACTTTTTTGTGTCGTAATGAACAAATCAACACATTATGTTAATTTGTAGTGATGAGATTAGGAGTTTTATGAATCAAAAGGCATATTTACACTCTGTAAAGATAAAATAGCTAGACTTGTTCCTGCTTTGACCCACTAGTATCAAAGTTTACCAGTTTGCCACTTTTGGATTTAATGATGCTTGTTCTGAGACCCGTATACCCCATTCTGGAGCACTTATGTGCTAGTTAGGCAAAGCGTTTTAAATGCATCAATAAATGTTGACAATTAATACATTGATTATTAATTTAATGGAGTAAATGCATACAGACTCTTAATTTCAGCCAGCCAGCTTCAGTTGAACTGTTTTTCCAGTATAAAATTGCCACGTTTAAAGTCTGATTTCTTAAAAAATTGGTGATCTTCATCTCCTAATAGACATACGTCATAAAGTGAGTTTCAAAGCAAGAAGCACTTAATTAAATTTCATCTCCCCCACCATCTCTTTAAAATATGACAACTTAGTTTACCCCAGAATTTTCAATGGAGTTTTTGTAGTCTGCTGATACAGCGCTAGCGCTTACATGTTTTTTCACCTTGTTTTACGCTTGGACAACTAAATGAATGCTGAAGTCTATTTAACTGAATGTATTGTAATAACATTACAACATTGATGCGGTAAAAGGAACTGTATGAAATTGAAAATAGTCAAATTAAGCTTTCACTTGAAGCCTCCCCGCTGAAAACAAAAACGGCTTAAACCAGCCTAGGCTGGTTTTAGAAAGGTTTTGGCCATTTCCAGGCTGGTCTTAGCTGGTCAGGCTGAGAGATGACCACCTAAAACTAGCTTGACCAGCCAAGAGCAGGTTGGAAATGGCCAAAACACCTCTAAAACCAGGCTGGTCTACCAACTAAAGCAGCCAACCAGCTTAGGTTGGTTTAAGCTATTTGTTTTTTTGTTTTTTTCAAAAGGGTTATCATTGGCTAAGGAACACTAGCTGTGCATATAGCCCATTTTGGTGATTCGGAAATAAATAAAATGTGTGCAAATGTTTGTGCTTTTTTTTAAAGTGAGTCCAAACCAAACAAGCAGACTTGACAAAAATACCACCAGTGTATGCATGTGTGGGACTTGTGCACAAAGAGTAGCCCTTAGCAAATCATTGTTTCAGATGTTACAAAAGTTCTGTTATTTATGAGTTACTATTTTGTTTCTTTTGTATCTTTAAGTTCATCTAAAAATGAAACTCTGTGAACATGGACTAAATGCATACTGTTAGTTTTTGGTCTCAAAGAAAGTCGAGTGTTTTTTTTTTTTGTAACTTAAACTAAACTGATGGACATTTACTAAAATGAAGGAACTGGATTAGTTCTGAACAGCACACATTCTGCAGATTAGGAATTCATGCGTTAATGCAACTAATCTCTAACAAACATCAATAGATGTGTGATTGTTTTTGTTCGTTGACACGGTTTGTCAGCAGCGAGTTGCTTTTCAGTCACCACTCACCAGGCCAGTTCAACTCAGAGTTCAGATCCCCCAGAAGGGGCCGTCTTTCCTGTTTGCAGACGCATTTTTTTGCACAGACCGAGGTGGTAATCGACATTTGATCTTCGTATCCTTTATATCCGGGTGTGTTTTTTAGGGATTATCTCAGTCCCGCGTGGTTTAGCCGCGGAAAGAGTTGATTTAACAACAACAAAATCTGCATTATCTTCGCCGCGTTATTTAGTTTTCGCCAGTGGAAGCAGCAGCAGCAGAAATATGGGTAAGTGTCACTTCAGAACTGATTAATGCACCTTTGACCATTGCAGCCAAACTTTATTTTCAACATTCGACTTTATTCGTATGTTAGTATGCAATAGTTCCTGTTTGGAAGAGAGAATTGCTTTATTTACACACTACAGGCCTACCTGTCAAAATTATTCAGTAGAGTTCGTGCAAATGTTGTAGCTTTGAATCTATAAGACGTGTCTTCTCATGGGAAGTTTTCCTATTACTTAAGTATAAAAAAGATATTATATATTCAATAATTTGATGTTATTAAAATTCAATATTCATAAATGCATTATTTAAATTCCCCCAAGACTAGTGGTATTTAAAGAAGAATTTGTGATATATTTAAAGACATTAAAAGAGATGAAAAGCTAAAAAGTCAGATATTTATATTCATCATAATGATTTTAATTGCATATTTTGAGAACTTTAACTCCCCTGCTACTTAAGATTCTTTAGCATTTATTTTTTGTTTATTTATGGTATCTTTTTATTTACATTTTATGTAATATTAACGAGGATGGGAAGATTGTGAATGTATGCAGTTTGATTGTTATCTCAGTCTTTTGTGTAATTCTAAAATGTATTAATGCCTTTCTGTTACTGTTCAAGCATTGTTAATAAAAAAAAAAAAATGTTGTAGCTTTGGAGTGCACAGTATTAATAGTTTAACATTTTTACACTGAGTAGACTTTATAAAATGGCCTACAATATTAAAACAGACCTTTGTGAATGTTTGTGTGGCATTAGGCAGTAACTTTTATAATCGACTTTAATTTCCATTACTGTACAATGAGTAATACAACTTTTTTTGTGTGTGTGAGAGAGATTATATCTTTCTTTCTTTCTTTCTTTCTCTTTTTTTATTTTCTTTCTTTCTTTCTTTCTTTTTTGCTTGGTCATTGCAGGGATTGCCCCTTATGTAACCCATAAATATTTTTCTTACAAGCAGGGGAAGGATGTGCAACAATTCTTGGCAAGACACTGAGTCTTCTAGATTGTAACATTACCCATCTGTTGAAGTTGGCTTGTGTGTGTGTTTCTTTCAAGCTTTTATAGAGTAGAAAAAAATGTAGTTCACTTGAAAATAAATCATGCCTTTTAATAACAAACACAAATTGAAGACTCACAATCATGTGATGCACGATAAAAAAACCTTCAGTTAGACTTTATTATAGTTTAAATACTTTAACAAGATTTGTGTTCGAATTGATCTCAGAAACACCTGCTTCAGTTTTTGATTGTCTTACATTATGATATCTGAGATTTACCATTTTGTGTGCTTGCAGCTTCAACCTGTTCAGGATGTGGTCCGGGATATAAAACCCCTCTGGATGCAATGAAAGGCAAGTAGATTTTCTTTAAAAATGCATAAGATAATGTGTATATCATGCATGTAAATATGACACAGTATTGCACAGTCATTACAAAACAGCAGTGACCTTTACCCAGGAAATTGAGCTTTATTATCACTGTAAGATCTGATGCAAGCTCCTCCTTACCACTAGAGGTCATCCTCACATTCAGATTGACATATTTCTGCTGTTTTTTTCTTTTTTTTTTCCTTTCGTCATGCAGAAACAGTACTTTTTTATTGTAGTATTTAGAAACATAGTACAAGAGAATACATCTCACAACAGTTATGAACATAATAAAAATAAATAAAATAAAATGAAATAAATGCTTTCATCCAGAAACAGTAATGTTTTATATCTGGTCTTTTGATATTACTAAATCTTATGTTGGCAAAACCAGTTTTACTATAAATACCAAGAGTAATAATAAGGCTATTCATACCATTCTCCAAAGGGAGATTATTACTGTACCTTATATTCAGTGTTTATTAAAGAGTCAACTGATTAGCTGGAAAAAATAGTGTGGCTGTTACGCTATGCTGTTACCACAGAAACATGTTAGAAATAAAATTAAGGAATTATCCAATAAACTTCTCCACATATTTTATCCAGCAAAACATTTATAGTTTTATTAGTTTATAAAAATGCAAAAATGGAATTGAGGTGAATTGTATTTTTGTGATGAATATGAGGAGACTGATTTACACTTATTTTAGCATTGTGCATACTCAGTCACTTATGAAGTGAGGTGCAAAATTTATTAATAACAATTTTGGGCTTTACTGTGTATCCTAGTCAAGAGGAAAATAGTTTTTATGGAAGCTACATCACGTTCCCTGAGTTTGCTTCTTGATTTGTCTGTTTCAGATTGTAACATCAATCAAGAATAAATCACTGTAATAAAATGTTTACTTTTAAAACTAATATTTTGCCATAGTCATACTATAAAATGGTATCCTTTTCATTTGGTTATTTTAGGCTCATTTATTATTATAAAAGCTTTTCAACTGAAGAATTGTAAATGATCTGCTTTTACAACTTTATTTTCTTCCTGACATTTAGAATGTTATTTTAATTTAACTTTATATAATGACTAACCTGTTCTTAACCATTCATTCATTCATTTTCCTTCAACTTAGTCCCTTTATTCATCAGGGTTCACCACAGCAGAACTTATCCAGCCTATGTTTTACACAGTGGATGCCTATGTTTTACCAGCTGCAACCCAGTACTTGGAAACATATATATACACTTATTCACACACATACACTACAGCCAGTTTAATTTGGGGCTTTGGACTGTGGGGGAAACTGGAGCACCTGGAGGAAACCCACACGAACATGGGGAGAGCATGCAAAATCCACACAGAAAAAAACAACTGACACAGCCGGGACTCGAGCTAGCGACCTTCTTGCTATGAGGCGACGGTGCTATCCACTGAGCCACTGTGTCGCCCAAAGATTTATTGAAACTACATTTTTAAATGCATATAAAAACATCAGTAATTTAATAACAGAAAATGAATTAACCACTATTATTTTGTATTTGAGACTGTGTCTTATTGGTAGAGCCATTGTATCGCAAACATGGGATAGCAGGATTGTTATTAAGTTCACTTCAGTCAGTGTTTATGCATTTGTTCTTTATTCATTTATTTTCCTTCTACTTAGTCTCTTTTATATCACCACAGTGGAATGAACCCCTAGCTATTCCAGCATATGTTTTATGCAGCGGATGCCCTTCCAGCCGCAACCCTATACTGGGAAACACCCATACACTCTCACATTCACTCTCTCACTCACACACACACACACACATACTTATACGGCTAATTTAGTTCATACAGTTCACTAATACTGCATGTCTTTGGACTGTGATGGAAAACCGGGAGTGAAATCAGGTGAAAAAAAATGGGACTCGAACCAGCATCCTTCTTGCTGTGAGGCGACCCATTTGTGGTTCATACTTTGAAATCTATCAGTTCTAAGAAACAAAGATCAGTATATATTTATGAAAACCTAAACTGTGCTTCAAAACCACCTGCATTCAATTGCTGAATGCCTCCTCGATTATAAGTCGCTTTGGAGAAAAGTCTCTGCTAAATTTCTAAACGTAACAAACATAATTTCATCCTGCAGGACCTCGAGAAGAGATCGTCTACCTGCCATGCATTTACCGCAACACAGACATCCAGAAACCTGACTACCTTGCAACTGTTGATATCAACCCACAATCCCCCAACTTTTGCAAGGTAAAGTGAAACCTAATTAATAAACGTATACAGTTGAAGTCAGAATTATTAGCCCCCCTGAATTACAGCCTCCTTGTTTATTTTTCCCCGATTTCTTTCAACGGAAAGGATTTTTCAACACATTTCTAAACATAATAGTTTTAATAACTCGTTTCTAATAACTGATTTCTTTTGTCTTTGCTATGATGACAGCACAAAAAATGGTAAAACTTTATTTTGATGGTCCAATTGAGTATTAGTAGACTGCCTGCTTAATATCTGTTGATACTGCTGCTAAAAAGAAATTTAACTGACTATGAGAAACTTAGCAAGTACATGTCAACTTACACTAACCCTAGCCCCAACCTAAAAGTGTATTTATGATCTAATGAGAATTAGTTGGCATGTAGATGCAATGTAACTTAAATTCAACAAACGGACCATCAAAATAAAGTGACCCATAAAATTTTACTAGATATTTTTCAAGACACTAGTATTTAGCTTAAAGTGACATTTAAAGGCTTAATTAGGTTAATTAGGCAAGTTGGGGTGATTAGGCATCATGTATAACAACGGTTTGTTTTCGGAAAAAATCAGAAAAAAAGTATTGCTTAATGAATCTAATAATATTGACATTTTAAGGTCAATATTATTAGATTCATTAAGCAATACTTTTTTTTAAAATGATTAAAAACTGATTTTATTCAAGTTGAAATAAAACAAATAAGACTTTCCACAGAAGAAAAAATATTATAGTAAATACTGTGAAATATTCCTTGCTCTGTTAAACATCATTTTGGAAATCACAAAGGAGAAATCACAGAAGGGCGAATCATTTTGTCTTCAACTGTACATTTTGACCTGTTTCACTGGAGTGTGACGACAACAACATGTCCTGTTGTAGGTGATTCACAGGCTGCCCATGCCCAATCTGAAGGATGAGTTGCACCACTCCGGCTGGAACGCCTGCAGCAGCTGTTTTGACGATCCCTCCAAAAGGCGCAATCGACTCATTCTGCCGTCCCTCATCTCCTCCAGAATCTACGTCGTTGATGTAGGAACGGATCCTCGGGCCCCACGACTTCACAAGGTCCATTTGAGCATATACTGTGATGTTCAGTGCTCAGCATAATGAGTACCCCATTTGGAAATTAATATTTGTATCCATTTCTCAGTTTATATGGCCAATATATTTAGGTGCATTTAAACAAATCTGTTTTAATAAATAGTTGTACCAGTTAAAATAAGAGTTTGGTCACAACAAATTTAAATTCAAATGAGTTATTGAGAACAAAATACAAACTACAAAATGTCAACAAAATTATATTTACATCATATAATATTATTATTATTATTGTTATGGTTTTCTTGATTTATTTTTTCTTTGAATTTATTTTAATTTATATTCTTGGACTTTGATCTTGTTTTTTTTTTGTCAGAGTGGTTTTAGTTTTAGTTTTGATACAGACTAATCTTATGTATTCGCACAAATCTATTATTGTAAAGCATCCTATTGAGAATATCAAATAACAATAATGATCTGTGAGGGGGTACTTATTTATGCTGAGCCCTGTATATATAATAAGGTATGTTAATATAGGCATACCATTATGGATATGGGCAGATGAACATGAGAAATGGTCAAACTTAAAAGGAGATCTCACTGAAAGCTTTTTTTATTCTGTTCATACTCTTTTAATTGTATCTTTTATTGCACGCTAAAGTAGCTCACACTTCAGGGTTAGTAAACCTGGACTGGCAAACTCACACCATGGTGAAGACATGACCCACTTGGCTGTATGTCTAAAAATATTTGCTTCACATCATTCTGATCCAAATACATATATTTTTTCAAGAAATATTTGCACTTAAATACACATTTTAACAAATAATTAAGCTTTATAAACAGCATATGTTTGCCCCTCGAACTTCAGTTTAAGCCAGTTTTGCAGTTTACAGAAAACCTGAGTGTATATTTAGTTTGATTTTTCTTCTAAAAGCCCAGATCTATGCACATTAAATTGTAATGTGCTCTGTTTAAAAAATACAGTCTTTGAAAAATTTATTTAAATAAGAGAAATCATACATGTTTACAGCAGTATATATAATTAAATATAGGATTTACATGCATACATATTAAATAAAACCAATTTTGTTTAATGCTGTATAAAATAATATTTTAACAGTTTAAATATTTTGTCTTTAATGCATTATATTATATTATATTATATTATATTATATTATATTATATTATATTATATTATATTATATTATATTATATTATTTTTTATTACATTATATGATATTATATGACATTATATTATTTTATATTATATTATATTATATTATATTATATTATATTATATTATATTATATTATATTATATTATATTATATTATTTTTTATTACATTATATGATATTATATGACATTATATTATTTTATATTATATTATATTATATTATATTATATTATATTCCATTATATTATATTCCATTATATTATATTCCATTATATTATATTATTTTAATTTATTTTATTTTATATGACATTATATTATATTATTTTATATGACATTGTATTATATTATTTTATATTACATTATATTATATTATTTTATATTATTTTGTTTTATATTATATTATATTATATCATATTATATTATATTATATTATATTATATTATATTATATTATATTATATTATATTGTTGTGAAACAATAGACCTTTTTTTTTAGAATGCAAAATTATCCATTATGCTTTGCGTGTATGTGTAAGGAGGATGCTAAGAATTTCTGGCAGCTTGATGCTTATAAACAGTCACATTTGGACAGCTTTGAAACAATAATTTTAATCTATTTCACTTGCTTTTACCGTCTTTGAACTAATACTGCTCTTGATCAGCGCCACCTACTGGACTGATTATTTTAAAAAGTCATCTAAAAGGAATGCAAAACAACATTTTGCGAGTCATTCACCATTATCATCAGACGGCATCTTGTGCCGTTTAAATGGAGCCTCGTCATCGCTGAAGTGAACTTTTTCTCTTTTTTTTCAAATAAATAACCAGCCCAAACAAATGTAATACGCCAAAATGTTTGACACACACACTTACTGTCCCACTAACACAGTGCTGGAAAGACTGGCACAAAGTGAAAATAAAGTGGCATTTAAAAAAAAAACATATGGTAAATACTACGTAATACAAACAAATTAAATAAAACATAAACAGCTCCCCATTAGAATCAACATGCAAATTAGCCAGCAAAGTATCAGTAATGTACTTTTATTGTTGGGAAATTGAATGGCTTCATTACATACCTGTTAAGTTTCATACCAGTAGTATGGTTTGCTCTATAATGCAATGATCTATTGCATGTGTGTGTACATTGAAGAGTTGCTGAGCACAGTATAACAGCTGACAGGTCGGGAACACTAACATGGTATTTCACCATCTGATCTGACGGCAGACACTTAACTAGGAGAGCGTTTTCTCTTGCGCTTGAACCACATCAGACAAAAGTATAATGGCTTTAAAACACACCTTTCAAAATCAAAGTTGTGGATCACAAAAACACTCCCTAAGCTATTCAAAACGGAATTGACAGCCATTTTCTGATCAAGATTAGCCATTTGTAAAGGCTGTAAACAGAAATTCATCCTATTGGAAGACGCTGGTCGCTTTGGCGGCCCCCATGCAGCAATGGAAAAAAAGGTTTATAAGTAATTCAAATATTTGACATGTAATCAAAGTTATTGGCATTTCCTTAAATTTCCCTTATCTGAAACTTGCATTGCACAATAGTTATATCAGATACTTTTGATTTGATTTGAAGTAACCTCCTAATAATCAATAATTGTTTTCGTGTCTTATTAAACAAACAAATAAATGATCTTCTATCCTTTGTTGATCCCCAGACTCAAGTTAAGAGAAAATTTATACTGCGGAACAGAAATCTTGAGTGCATTGTTTGACTGTAAATGAAGCCCAGAGCTTGACATCATGTCCTGTTATCCCAGTGATTGGGCTCCAAATGAATTCTGTTTATCAGTGATGTATTGCTTAACATTAAGTGTGTTATTTTTTCTGTTATATACAAATGTTTAGTTCCTGCCAAATTTGTGAATTGTTACCATCTCTCTCCTCCTCCTCCAGACAGTGGAGCCCACAGATCTGTTCTGGAAATGCGGTCTGGCAAACCCTCACACTTCTCATTGCTTGGGCAGTGGCCAAATCATGATCAGCACCATGGGCGATCCCTCTGGCAATGGGAAGGGTAAGAATATTGCGTTCATCACACTGAGGCCTTGTTTACACCTGGTATTAAAATGCATCTTTGTCAATATAATCACATGTGGATGATGCCAAATACGAAGTAATTGAGGTCAAAAATGTTTGATCTTGTCTACATTTGAGCACTTAAAGCTCATGTGAAGTGCTTTAAAATGCGCATATTTTATTCAGTGTAATCTCAACTGAATAATTACGAAAGGGTGGGGCATAAAGTAGCTCCTCCCCTTTAAATAAACAGCCAATGGCGTTTTGTTTACATACAGAGTGGTTGAGCTTAAGCGCATCAAATGAAAACCAAATGAAAAGCATCTTGAAGGGGGCGGGGCATGTCAGATACTAGAGAGCATTTAATTGGTCATGATTTGATGAGAAACTGAAGTATGAGGTGATCCATTTAGCTTTTGATGTTTCTATCAGTTTTATATTTTCTAAACATGAATTTTGTTGCTGTTTTGGAGCACACTAGCTAATAGATAACCTTAAAACTAACAGACTAAAATAACAAAAAAATTCGCGGGACCTTTAAATTGGCAGTTTAAAAATTCAGATAATCAGATTGATTTTCATTACATTGATAGCGTTTGAACTGCTACAAATGACCATCTAATTTCCATCTACTGACCTCATTCTTAAGGCTGATTTATACTTCTGCGTCAAACGTCGGCGTATGCTACGGCGTTGACGCATAGCCCTTCGCCGTGGCCATCGCCGTCACTGACGTGCACCTCTCAAAAAATGTAACTACATGTCGCAACGACGCGTAGCGTAAGCTCTGTGATTGGTCGGCTTGGTAGCGCTGACGAGTCTGGGCGGGACCGAGAGCCGCGCGAATTGCGCGAGCGATTGTTTACAAGTGTGGAGTTCCGTGAAGGAGCTCCGGATGGAAGTTTTGTTTTGTGTTTACCTCATAGTTAAAGTTGTTGCACGTCCGCCGGTTCCTGCCTCAAAATGAGCGAGTTTGAGCCACTTGTACATCCCGGAAGTGTTCAGGAAATGCAAAAAAGCAGAGAAGAAACTCGACACAGAGGAACATTTACACCTCACTGCCCACTAGCGTTTCGGAAGTGTTAATGCAGACTGACAGAGACAGCGCGCAGAAGTATAAATGCACAGCCACGCGCGTTGCCTGCGCCGTGGGTTACGCCGGTCACCTGACGCAGAAGTATAAATCAGGCTTTAGACAGGTTGAGTTGGAGTATGCTGACCAGAAGGCATATAATAATTCTAGATTTGGATTGATAGTTAAAAAAAGTGAACAACAATTGATTTTTTTTCCAATTTCAATCCTCATCATTCATCATTTTCTGTTGTCTTTTTTATGCTTATACAATATAAAAAATAACTATTCAGTGGCTTTGAAAAAAAAACAGTGATATAAATAAATAACTACAATACCTAAATATAATCTCTACAAATCATAAAAGAGGTGTGGAAAGTTTTTAAATAACTGGCTAAAATTAAAATACAGCTAGAAATTTAACAAACTGTAGTCCTCTGCTTTCCACTCAAGTGGGCGGAGTAATACACAAGGGTGACGAGGCTGTACTAGTGCTGATATTACTTTAATATCTCACGGCTATCAGCCAATCAGATTCGAGAACCAGACAGAATCTTGTATAAACTGCAATACAGCATGTCTCCCTCTTCTACTTGTGGTCCAGTTGACCAAAATGTTTCTTAATAGGTGTAAACATGGCCTGTGTGCTTACTAAAAATGCTAATTAGGCTAATTTGGCATTTTATTGTAAGGCGGTTTTGTGTTGCTGGATGGCGAGACGTTTGAAGTTATTGGTAACTGGGAGCAGCCAGGAGACGCGGCGCCGTTTGGTTATGACTTTTGGTACCAGCCTCGCCACAACGTCATGATCAGCACTGAATGGGGAGCGCCTAAAGCACTGGGAAATGGCTTCAACCCTGCTGACGTCAAAGCTGGTATGTGCGCATTCAAGAGTGTTCTGTGAAGAGATGGCAGTGGTGATAATGGGTGTTTGTAGGTCACTATGGTCAGCGGCTCCACGTCTGGGACTGGACCACACACAAGCGCATTCAGACTCTGGATTTGGGGGAAGAGGGCGCTATTCCTCTAGAGGTCCGCTTTCTGCATGACCCGGCCGCGGCTGAGGGGTTTGTGGGCTGTGCACTTCAGAGCACCGTCTTCCGCTTCTATAAGACTCCGGCAAGTGTATAAAAAAGCCTTACAACTGTTTTAGTTTGCTTGTGTGTGTATGTTTATGTGTGTGTGGGTGTATACAGTGGCGGAAATAAGTATTGAACACGTCACATTTTTTCCTGGGAATAATAATTCTAAAGGAGCTGTTGACATGAAATTGAACCAGATTTTGTTGAAAACTCTACAAAAATAAAAAAATATGAATGAGTTTGTATTTTCTATTGGATTCAAGTCAGGTGATTGGCTGGGCCATTCTACAGCTCGATTTTCTTTTTCTAAAACCATTTGAGAGATTTTTTGGCTGCGTTTTGGGTCATTGTCCTGCTTAATTGTCCACCACGTTTTCATTTTCATCATCCTAATAATGTAGATGTTGGACTAAAGCAGCTGATATTAATTTCACTGATGAAGGGCAGAGGGTTGCTGAAGAACTACCGAGAGATTTCAGCTGCTGTCTGGGCTATCACTGCCTGTCTAAACCTCCCTTTCTTCATGTATTCATTAATTTTTCTCTGCGTCGTTTTAATTAAATACACATACCTTAATTTGTAAATTAATTAGTTTTGTTTTCTTTGCATTGTATGGATTTCTTCTGTTGTTACCAACATCCAGTGAAAATTTTAAGTAAACTGCAACTTTAGAAATATGTATATTAGGGTTGGGCAATGTCGACCAATTTGGCATTGCACGATGTCTAATGTAAAACATTGCGATGGTCGATGGCATCATAGTTGCAGACGGCGGTGAATAAATTGTTTATGAATAATTAATTAATTCATAACAAATTAATTATTTGTAGCTTACCGATTCAACAACATGACTTGCATAGTCTTTGTTTTCCCCACAACCAAATCATTAATAAGTAATGAGAAGTTACACACAAATTACCACCTGTCAATCCCTTTTGGAAAGGAATAGGCAGAGTGATCTGTGTCAATATAATGGCATCAACAAACTTGGTTGGTAAAAAAAAGTGCCCAACCAACAGTATATGAGGTTTTCAACAAAATTACTAAGTACAAGCATGAAAGTGAAAGATTGAAGAAGTGTACTGACGCTGTGACACGTTACCTGATAGATTCAAAAGACCGAAGTGTGGTTAGATGGAGACAAGATTAATTAAACGTCATGTTTCACAACTATAGTGAGAAGCGATCCAGCAGTACATCCTTAATAAACTGCCTGACGTGCACTGCTCTCTAGGTTAGCCACTAGAGCTCAGACTCTGCAGCGCGTGACAGAGTTTGTGTGTGGGGTCACGTGATGTGTGTTTTCAGCAGTATAGTGTGGATGGAGAGATCTGTTCAGAAATGCTAGATGAAACGCCAGTGTGGATGTGGATTGTTTTCCTTTTAAATTGCCATTTTAAAACTAAGGCGCATTAGCGTAAATGGGGCCGTGTGTATTTTTCGCAAGCGGGTTGCCGCTGTGAAGGGGGCAGGTCGGAGGATCGCTATGCCGGCTTAGCATTGTGATGTCTATCTGCCATCGGCGATGGACGATGACATCACCTATCAAACCAACCCTAATGTATATACATGTATACACTACCATACAAAAGTCTTGTCACCTATCCAGGTTTCTTTAGAAACAACAATGGCAAAAGACGGAACTCACCGTTGCTTACTGAGTGTAACCACAGATACAGGGACACTGGAGCCGTGAAGATCAGTTGGTCTGTTTATAAGCTGACATACGAGCAATCCTGATGAATCGACTGATCTTCACTGCTTTAAAATGCTCTAGTGTCCCTGTATCTGTGGTTGCACTCACTAAACAGTAGGGATGTAACGGTATTGTAAATACCGTCATACCGCAATATTAATTTTTTTCGATATTACCGAAGTCGCATGACTCGGTAAAACTATAGGTCTTCTGAGAAAATTTGCTCAGGCGAATGAAGCGAACGGGAGGTACCGGAAACTACAATTCCCATCAGCCCAGGCTTGGCCATAATCCCTTGCGGTCTGTTGTCACTACAGATCCAGTAATGCGGAAATGGAGTGTGCTGCTAGAAGCGGGGATCAAAAAGAGCTGGAAAACCCTAAAGCGGGTGTTGTCGCCGCGCGCGTACTGAATAGTGGTGTTGTCGCGCGAGTTCTTATCAGCTGTGTTGTCGCGCGCGTACTGAATAGCCGTGTTGTCGCGCGAGTTCTTATCAGCTGTGTTGTCGCGCGCATACTGAATAGCCGTGTTGTCGCGCGAGTTCTTATCAGCTGTGTTGTCGCGCGCATACTGAATAGCCGTGTTGTCGCGCGAGTTCTTATCAGCTGTGTTGTCGCGCGAGTTCTTATCAGCTGTGTTGTCGCGCGCGTATTGTAAAGCGGGGACGGAGGGTATGTCGCGTCGCGGGGGCACTTTTGATCATTTTGGAAGGGAACTTTCTATCCAAATCTAAAAAGGGCATGTGCACTGCACAGGTTAAGCACTGTGTGTGCACGTGCCTGCAAGTTGGGGAATACGACTAATATCATGGGGACTGCAGAAACACAGCACACTGTTCAGATTGATGCAGACATGAGACCTCTATCTCACTCATGGCTTGTCCTCTCAAGTGGGGGAAAGACAATGCACAACGTTACCCACTGCTGTCAACATGGGCCAAGTCATATCTCTCTTGTCCCAGAAACCTCAGTCCCAAATGAGAGGGTTTTTTTCTGTTGCAGGGGACATTGTAAATACCCAGAGATACCAGCTTTTACCAGATTATATTTATATGATAATTTTCCTTTAAATCCATCTCTATCTAAGTGAGTGAGTGATTAAATGTTGAATGTGATGAGTTTTCAACAATACTAAATTGAAACTTTATCTTTTTTACATGGTTTAATATTTTTTTGTTATTAAAATTGAAGTTCCTGTTTCAAAGCTTACAGATAGATGACTAATTTGTATGTCATTGACACTTTTGGCACTTTTTTGGAGTATTTTCATAAGTTTTGTTTTTTCCTGTAAATGATTCAATAAATACCGTACCGTGACATTCATACCGAGGTATTACCGTACTGTGAAATTCTGATACCGTTACATCCCTACTAAACAGCAGTGAGTTCGGTGAACTGATGACCTTTACGGCCAATCACAGTCATTTCTGTTGAGTGTGCAATAGCACAATGACAAATCAGCACTGTTTAAGAATGCACTCAGCAGCGTTCAGTTGTTAGTGGGAAATGGAGGTTCAGTATCGTGACAACATTAAAATGTTAGTAATATTAGTATATATATCTCTACAAGTCTACATTTTTAAAGTGCCCCTATTATGGATTTTTGAAAATTACCTTTCATGCCTAGTTGTAATGGCTCTAAAATGAAAGTGGATCATGTATAATGTTGTTGACTCTCAAAAAGAAAGAGTCGACTCGGAGTCGTTAATGTGAATCGCCATTCAAATGAATCTGTAGTTGTTTATTCAGTTGTCTCATCTTGTTGCATATGCAGATCTGGGAAAACCTGACCCTGCATGTATATCAGCCTGTTGTTGAGGACTCCAAAAACCAAAATATAATCTTTTATAATCCATAATAGGGGCACTTTAAAGAATGAACTATTTAGCTTTATATTTTGTTTTGCAGAAGGGGGACTGGGCTGCGGAGAAAGTCATCAAAGTTCCTAGTAAAAAAGTGGAAGGTTGGGCTCTTCCTGACATGCCAGGTTAGTGCGTTTTAATGTTTTTTTTAATTAATAGAAACTTGAGTAACAAACAACAGTCCTTAGAAGGATATTGGAGAAAAGGTGCAACTGAACAAAGTCTTTAAAAATGTTCTGTAATGTTAAAATTATGACACTCTCATTTATTTATTTATTTTTCTTTTTTTCCATAGGTCTCATTACGGACATCCTAATCTCGTTGGATGATCGCTTCCTCTACTTTAGTAACTGGCTTCATGGAGACATTCGACAGTATGACATCACTGACAGGAAGAATCCACGAATGGTTGGTCAGGTAAGACAACATGGTTTAACAGGTTCGAAAAACATTTATTTAAATTGATTAAGGGCGAAGCAATGGCGCAGTAGTACAATACTAAGTAAAGATCATGTTCCTTGAAAATATTTAGCAAATTTCTTACTGTAAAGATATCAAAACCCAATTTTTGATTTGTAATGTCTATTGCTAAAAAACATAATTTAGACCACTTTAAAGTCTTTTTTTCAGATTCCAGATTTTTTTAATTGTTTTACCATCACCAAATATGTCCTATCTTAACAAACCATACATCAATGGAAAGCTGAGATACATAGAAATTTGACACTTATGAAAAATACATTTAAAGTCACAGTTCATTCCAAAATGTCACAAATCTGTTTGCATTTCATTTTCCTGTTGAAGATACAAAAGACAATATTAAAAAAAAATGTAAAATGCTGGAAAGCAGCAACCATTGACATCCATAGTATTTTTTTTTCCTATTATAGATGTCAATGGTTACCGGTTTCCAACATTCTTCAAAATATCTTTTTTTTGGGGGGTTCAACAGAAAACATAACTCAGCTGTATTTATTCCCTGTGAACTAATCTTGTAAGATATCTTGTAATATAAACTTGTATTCTATATGACCCCAACAATTTATAGAATAATTATAATTATAAATACTTATAATAATAATTATTATAAATAAATACACTTTACCCATACAAACTGTTTATCTTATTTATTTGTTTAATTTTCAGCTATACGCTAAAGATGTATTTTGGGAGATGTGAAGTACTTTTGCACCTACTTTACCACAAAAAATCCTCAATTACACCTTTCCCCTGTATGTGAAATATTACATTTTTAAGAAAAAGTCATTTTAATGAGTATCTGAATTCAATTTAAGTTATTTCTGAACATTGATCTAGGTGTTAGGTGTAGAATTCTGCCATCTGCTGGTTGGTGATGAAACTAAAAGGACTACAGTTTACAAAAGAAAATGTTTTATCCAACAAAGGGCCGCAAAGAGCCTTTTAAATGTCTTATAGTTGTTGATGCTTTTTAGAATCATCTGTCTTCACAAATTAATATTATTCCCACAGAAATTTGACAGAAAGGGGCGACTGTTTACGTGTGTGTATGTACGTGTTTTTGTGACATATCAGGACACAAATCTGTATAATGACATGGGTATGACACAGCTATTACAAAAAGGAGGTGAAATATGAGGACATTGGTGACGTCCTCATTTCTCAAAATGCTTATAAATCCTACAGAATAAGTTTAATCAGAGAGTAAAGCTGCACACAGTCTCCAGTGATGGTTGGGTTTAGGGGTGGGGTAGGGTGAGGGCAATATAATATATGGTTTGGACAGTATAAAATGAATGGAAACCTATGTTATGTCCCCACTTTTCACAAAAACAAACGTGTGTGTGTATGCGTGTGCGTGCGTGCGTGCGTGCGTGCGTGCATGCGCGTGTGTGTGTGCGTGCGTGCGCGCGCGTGCGTGTGTGTGTGCGCGTGTGTGTGCGCGTGTGTGTGCGCGTGTGTGTGTGCGTGTGTGTGTGCGTGTGCGTGTGTATGTTTGTGACTGTTTTGGGTATTTTTGTGTAATTTCAATAAAATGAGACCAACTATTCTTTATACCTTCACTTTTTTTAAGTTAAGTTTCAGATAAGGGTTAAAGGTTTGTAAATAATTGTTATAGTTGTTATTTATTTTTCGCTGAACTATCCCCTTAAGGTCTTCCTTGGGGGCAGCGTCTTGAAAGATGGACCGGTGAAAGTGTTGGAGGACAAAGAACTGGACAGCCAACCAACACCACGTATACTGAAGGTACCATTTAAACTCGTTAACTGAGCTCTGTGTACGCATTTGTGTTAGTGGTTTATGCAGGAGAAAACAGCCTGAAGCTAATTGCCAGATGACCCAGCTTATCGTCCTCCAAATCTCTAGGTCAAACAGACCTAAACAGAGCAATTAGAGAACATCATTTGCTTGGAGGTTTAAACGGTATCTTTGTGATCAGGGAAAGCGGGTGCAGGGAGGCCCTCAGATGCTCCAGCTCAGCTTGGATGGAAAGCGGCTGTACGTCACCACTTCTTTATACAGCGCTTGGGACAAGCAGTTCTACCCCGACCTCATCAAGTGAGACTTTATAAGCAAAGTGATTTTATTTGGTGGGAATTAGAGATGTCTTGTAAGCCATTCAGAAATTGTTAAAAAGTCGTGTTCACATTCTGGCTCCATTTAGACAAAAAGAATCTTAGTTTTATAAAACTGTCATAGCTTATCTGATTACTATTTGATTACGTAGCTTATCTGATTACTATTTTCAAAATCACTTACTATAATTACTTATTGATAAGTAATGTGAAAATATTTAAAATTGTAATTTACTAAATAGTAGTAATGTATAATAGTACAATTAAAATGTACTGAAATATAACCATGTATACCATGTTACTAGCTAGCTCTCTGCAACTCTCACATGGTCGCCCACTGAAGCTAAGCAGCGCTGCGCCTGGTCAGTACCTGCAGTACGGAAGTGCTGTTAGTGAGGTCAGCAGAGGGTGCTCAAACTGTGGTCTGTGTGGGTCCTAACGCCCCAGTATAGTGAAGGGGACTCTATACTGCTCAGTGAGCGCCGTGTTTTGGATGAGACTTTAAACTGAGATCCTGTGGTCATAAAGAATCCCAGAATGTTCTTAGAAAAGAGTAGAAGTTTAACCCCGGCATCCTGGCCAAATTTGCCCACTTGCCTCTGTCCATCATGGCCTCCTAACCATCCCCATATCATAATTGGCTTCATCACTCTGTCTCCTCTCCACCAATCAGCTGGTGTGTGGTCTGGCGCCATATGGCTGCCGCGTGTATATAAATGTAAGGAATTATTATGATTAATTATTACTTCTGCGGTTCACTTATTTTTTTACTACATTTTTTTTTTTTTTTGAAAATTTAAAATTACATATGAACCACATCCAACAATTATGATGATTTTTTTTTAATTCAGCATTGATGATGAATCTCATCTGAATGTACCATTGTATGAATTTTATACAGATAGAGTAATGTAATCCAATAAATACCAGTATTAACCTTAACTATAAAGATTTAAAATTACAATTAATTCATTTTTTTAATATTTGATCAAATGATTTTGGTCCTAAATATGTCAGGCATTATTAAAAATACCTACCAGTTACCAAATAATAACGTTCTTATTAACAGTTACTGCTGCAATTTGCAATTACTCCTTTTCGTCAAACTCAGTATTACATGCTGCAATTTAAAAATATAATCTCCAAAAATGTGTGATCAGAGAAATGAAAATGTGTTTTATAAAAGCTTTTTTGACATTGTTTAATCCTAATAGGTTTTTTAACAAAAAAGTATGGTAAGACTTTATTTTGACGGCCCCTATTGCACATTTTGTTGACTAAACGTTTTATTGTAACTACATGCTAATTACTTCTAATTTGAGTATTAGTAGACTGATATATCTGCTGAATATCTGCTGATACTGCTCCTTCAACAGACATCTAATTGACTATAAGAAACTTTGCAAGTGCATGTCAACTTACACTAACCCTAACCCCAACCTAAAAGTGTACTTATAATCTATTGATGAATTAGTTAGCGTGCAGATGCAATGTAACTTAAATTCAACAAAATGTGTTAAAGGGACCACAGCAAAAGTATTTGCATCAGTATATGTATTATTTTCACATCTCACATCTACAATTCCAATATCAAATCAATCTATGCACAAGTAAACATTATTTTCTATCCACCCTTCGACCCTACTTCACCCTTTGTGGACAATGCAATGCATTGAGGTAGATCATTCAACATAGGAAAGAAAAACAAACAAACAAATAAATAATTAAATAACTATAATAAAAATTAACACAGAGGGTAAAGTTACCCATTCACATCTTCAATTTCAGTCAAAGTACTATCCAAATTATTCCTATATGCAAACCTTTTTAAACATTTATTTTGAAACGTTAAAAGTATCTAATGTTACTTCACCTAATAGTACTCCATACATCTAGTTTGAAAACATGGAACATACTTTTTTTTTAAATAAGTGTACAAACTCACAGATCACCCAAAACTGAAGTATACTCACCCTTCACTTGTTACAGACCGGTTTATGTTTCTTTCTTCTGTTGAACAAATAAGAAAGTATTTTAAAGAATGTTAGAAATCAGCAGCACTTTGACCTCCAGTAGCCTTTATTTTTATTCAACTGAAGTCAATGTTTACCAGTTTGCATCATTCTCCATCATTCTCATTCACAAACAGAAAGAAAAAAAACTCTGTATTTGGTGAGGACATTGTCATCGTTTTTGGGTGATCTTTTTGAAACAAAGTTGTGATCCCTTTATGAAAACAATTCTAGTAAAAAAAAAATGAGTCCATTCTGACCCAAATGCTTTATGAAGGTTGAATAGTTTCAAAAATTTGTTTATAATGCTGCAATATCCTTCTTCATTCGCTGCAGGGAGGGTTCGGTCATGATGCAGATTGACGTGAACACGGATACAGGAGGCCTAAAACTCAACGAGAATTTCCTTGTGGATTTCGGAGCGGAGCCAGAAGGTCCTGCACTCGCCCATGAGCTCCGGTATCCTGGCGGAGACTGTACTTCTGATATCTGGCTATAAAGCTTGGAGCAAACCATGTCGTTCCAAGTTGAAGAGTTATTATTCCTCAGATACATCGTCATTATTATGATCACGTTTAGTTTTTGTGTGGAGCAAATCATATAACACAAACTAATTTCCATCATCTTTGTGTAACATCTATTACTATTATCAAAATGAATACCAAACTATTTGTAAAATAAATTTTTTGTATTCCAGTGAACTCTTTGGATTTGTCAGGTGTTTTTGAAAGGCTTTCAGAATCATTAGAATTGCAAAGTAGATTTTAAACATGTTATGCAAGTGCACAGAAAGAGGACAAACTTTCATCATTACCATAAGCATACATATTTTATTGTTTCAAACAATCTAATATAAAGCCATTATGATGTGTTTTGGGTTTCAAAAAGAGAACAGTGCTTAAAAATTAACTGAACATATGTTATTATTTTACATCCAGTTATTATTGAGGGGTATTTTTCTAATTAAGCTAATGAGCAAGACAGTAAAAGTAATACTTTTAGCATTAGGAATTAAACACTAGTTAAGTTTGGCACACATGTATTTTGTGGACTTGGAGAAGACATTTGATTGTGTCCCTCGTGGCATTCTGTGCAGGGTGCTGTGGGAGATGGGGTCAGAGGCGCTCTGTTAAGGGCTGTCTCGTCCCTGTATGAATAGAGTTTGGTTCGCATTGCCAGCAATAAGTCAGACTTGTTTCCAGTGCATGTTGGGCTCCGGGAGGGCTGCCCTTTGTCACCAATTCTGTTCATAATTTTTATGTACAGATTTTCGTAGCGCAGCCTTGTGCTGGAGGGGTTCCGGTTTGGGGACAACAGGATTTCATCTCTGTTATTTGCAGACAATGTTGTTCTGTTGGCTTTATCGAACATGGACTTTCAGCATGCACTGGGGCGGTTTGCTGCCGAGTGTGACGCGGCTGGGATGAGAATCAGCACCTCCAAGTCCGAGGGCATGGTGCTCCATCGGAAAAAGGTGGTTTGCCATCTCCAGGCTGGAGGAAAGTCTTTACCCTAGGTGGAGGAGTACAAGTATGGAAGGTGCAGCGGCAGCAGTAATGCATTTGATGAATCGGTACGTTGTGGTAAAGAAGCTGAGCCAAAAGACAAAGCTCTCGATTTACCGGTCAATCTACGTTCCTACTCTTACCTAAGGTCATGAGCTTTGAGTCATGACCAAAAGGACAAGATCTCGAGTACAAGTGGCCAAAATGAGTTTCTTTCGTCGGGTGGCAGGGTGCATGCTTATGGACAGGGTGAGGAGCTCAGAATAGAGCTGTTGCTCCTCCACATTGAGAGAAGTCAGCTGAGGTGGCTTGGGCATCTGTTTCGAATGCCTCCTGGACGCCTACCTACCCCCCGCTCTTCAGCTCTTCACTTTGTGATCACCCCCCCCCCCACCCTCTTCAATTTGCAATCATCCACCGCCCCTGTAAGGGTCTGTGCACGGGCCTGGTTCAAGGTATGTCCCACCGGGAGGAGGCCTCAGGGAAGACCCAGGACATGCTGTAGGGACTAAGTCTCTCGGCTGGCATCGGAACACCTCGGTATCCCCCCAGAGGAGCTGGAGAGAGGGAAATCTGGGGTTCTCTCCTAAGACTGCTGGCCCCAGAAAAACTGAATATATATAAATGAATGAATGAGTTTATTTTGGCTTATTGCTATTTTTGTTTACAAATATGAAAAGTTATCACTTCAAGTTTGCAGATAGGGAGAGAGGGGTCTGGAAGCAAACTTTGTGCAGTTGCAGGGTGAGCTGCATGCAATGCATTAATGCACACAACTAACTCACCCCAGACCCTACCCTTCACAGTGACTTCACTAGCTCCAATGAGTCCATTGTAGCTGACATACTATTGGAGAGGCATATCACTTGTTCAAATAAAGGAATATAAAAGAGGTAGTGTTTACCTCGTATTTTATAGTGTATCCATTACATTTCCCACATATTAGGTTAGGTTACTTTATTTACCCAAGGGTAGATTTGGTTTGCAGTCAAGAGTCCTTTCCTAACCGTGCCCCACACACAAACTCAGAGTAACAACAAAAAGTGGACATGAAGACATAAAACATGAACATACAAAACACTCTCTCTTCCAAAAAAATAAAACAATAAATAATCACTTCAAGTACAACTTGTAAAATGTACAACAATAACTATGATTAGTGGTAAATATATTTTTATGAAAATGATCATTAAATAAATATGATTAGTGATAAACTAACAAATATTTCGTTAAAAGTCTCTGATCAAACCTCATTAAATTTATAGTAAAAGAAAATCCATATTTAAGTACAAATAATATGAAGAAATGTTAACAATTACATTATTATATTTATTTAATTGTAATAAAAAATAATAACTTCAACTAGTCAAGGAGTACTTTTATAAATATATTTATAGACAATAATGCGATAAATACATCCATTGGTGTTTTCAGCTAATGTTTTATCCCTTCAATAAAACGCATAAAAATGTTTATCACTCTCTGTAGCCGTGTCTCAAAGCCTAGTGAGCTTCCTACCAAGGTAACATCCATAGGTATAACCTACAGGGGCGTGAATGCAGTCTCAGTAGGCTTGAGTGTGTGTTTTGAAACGCAGGCAGTAAGTGGGTCTTCTGGAATCAGGCAGTTGATGCGGGCAGCCCGGCGTGTCATCCTACACTCACTTTCTTAGCGAACCACACCGGCTATACAGCAACAGGAGACGCGCAGCTCCCAAATGGGGCACTTAAAACACAGATAAACCGATTACTTAAGCCTTCGCCCGGTTTATTTTGAGGTAAGTCATACGCATACGCTGTTTTTGGTCGTTCGGAAAGTAGAAGAGCGTTATAAAGTAGAGACGTTTCGTTAGCCGCTTGGCTAAGTGTAGCATCCGTTTGTATCTTTATGAGGCTTATCCTTTAAGGCCTGCATAATATTTGAACGTCCAGTCGTAATTATTGTTTTATCACCTTTTCTCTATTCAGAACACATACTGTTAATGTGTTTTATGAACATTTTGTTGTTGAGGTCTTCGGAAGAGAAAAGTAGTCGACGTGTCTATTAAAGGTCTCAGCTAAACATGCTCAGATGCTAACTTGAGTGCAAAAGTCATCAGACTGATAGACTGCTTAATACTTTACATTTAAAATAAAGCAGGCTATTTGAAAAGCAGTTAAATCGATTTCTAATGCATTGTGCTTGTTTATTTTGACATAAGGCTGTTACGTTATAAGTTATGTATTTGTGTTGTTGTGGATTCGTTAAAAGCTAGAGAAGTAATAAAACAAGCAATATTACGAGTGCAAACCGCAACGCAGTATAAATGTGGGCATTATTATCATATCAGCTTTCATAACTCCAAATATTTGGCTTGTTGTGATTGTGCTCTGATTTCTGTAAACCTAAAGCTTCAAAACATAGAAAACTTATCTTTGGATGTGTTTTTTATGGCAAGTCGATTAAATGTTTATAAACTGTTATTATTTTAGTATCTCTACATCTTTTTGTTCCCATATAACCCAAAGATCCATCAACTCTATCACTGCTGCTCACTTCTTACTTGGCTTTAAGTTTGTTGATTTTGTTCCAGTCTGTTTGTTTGATCTCAGGATTATTGGATTTCATGGCTTATTAACGATTAAGGTAAAGTTGGTTTTATATTCACACATTCAGACTTTCTCCTTAATAATATAGTTTCAGAAAAGCAATTTTTAAATAGTCAAAACATTATGGCAGCCAATGTATCAAAATCCAATGTAATCAAAGTACAACATTGTTCACAGTCAAAGAAATAGTGCAAATGTTGTTTTGAAGTCATAATTACATTCGATTTCAGATTGAATATTCAAAGTACCATGGTAAACCCTATAGGGAGCATGTCACTAGTTGTCATTGAACAAATGTATTAATATAAAATCAGCTACACCTCAATGCTTATTAATGATTGAGGTAAAGTTGGTTTTATTTTCACACATTCACACTTTCTCCTTAATAGTATAATAAAACACAAAAAAAGACTTGCAAAATCTAAATGGTACTATTGTATTATCATCCAATGACTATCAAACATTGTTCACGCTCAAATAAATAGTGCTAATGTTGTTTTCAAGTCGTACTTGCATTTGATTTCAGACTGAGTATTCAAAGTACTTCAAAGTGCCATGATAAACAATATAGGGAGCGTGTCACAAGTTGTCACTGAACGAATGTTCAACAATAAAACCAACTTTACCTCAATTTGTTAACTTTGTGACAGTCTTGTAATCTAAGTTATATAAATCAAATCAGCTAGTTTGAGGATAATGATTTTGTAATTAAGGTAAAGTTGGTTTTATGTTGACATTCATTTAATGTTCCCTATATTGTTAAATACGCTAATTTGAATATTGGGTCTTAAGTGGCATGTAAGTATAAATTCAAAATATCATTAGGATTATTTAATTGACCATGAACAATGTTGTACTTTTGATAGTCATTGGCTGCTAATATTATTTCCCTATTTAGGATTTGCAAATAATACTTTTCTGAGATGATATTATTAAGGATAAAGTCTGAATGTGCGAATATAAAGCCAACTTTACCTCAATGATTGTGGAAAGTCATGATGGTGTTGGTAAAAAGGGTTTTACACTGTCCTGCTCTCACATTTCAGGGCAAAGGCGGATTGAATTCAGTCTTTCCATTGCAATTCGAGAAGTCTAAATGTTTTGATCGGTATTGCAACTTTTACTGATATCAGTTAGGCTTGTCTGGCGAACAAGAACAGCACATAAAACTGTAATTTCAGTGTGAAACGTCTGCCAGAGTTGGACTCTGCATGTGATATATGAGAGGAGAGCTGGCATCTTCATCACAGATGACTCAGCCTCAACCAGCTGACACGTGCTGTAATCTCGTCACTTTCAGAATCAGTTTCGATTGATTTTTTTTTTGTGTGTGTTGCTTTCTACATCTGGTTTTGAATTTCAGTGATCTAGTAAGCACAATGGCTTGTGCTCATGTTCATTTGTCTTTCATCTAGTTAAACTAATTAAATTCATCAGACTTTCCACTGTTAACTTGAGGACTTTTCATCACTGCTGTTAAAGCATGAAAGCAAAACTAGTGTCAGGTCTTGAGGTGATTTAACTTTCCATAAAATACCTTTTTCTGACATTGTGATGACTTTGAAAATAATAATTAATCCCAAAATAAAAGTTTGATGTTAGTTTCCTCATCCTCAGGGCATCCAAGATGTAGAAGTTTTTTTATTTTTTTTTTATTTGGCATTAAAGAAGATTTTTATCTTAAACCATTGATTTTCTTAGGTGAAGTCTAAAATGCATATTAATGACTACCAGCACAGTCAGAGCTCCAAAAAAAAAAACATCTACAGTGAAACTAAATTATAACTTGTGACTCCTGATAAACCTTATTGGAACATTATAAAGTGCAAGATGTAGAGATATATATTTTAAGATAAGAACACATGTGGGTGCAGTCTCAAAAATGAGCTGATGCTGTTTGTTTACGGTTTTCTTTATATAAGTTGAACCATCCAAGTACCATTTTGATAAATAACTAACACACACAAAGCTTGCACTTCAGACTGTTGTGAACACACTGACTCAACCACTTTCCGAGCCTGTGGATTTAAGTATAACAGACCTGTTGTTTTGCTCAGGAGCCAAATATATTTGTATTGTTTTGCTTTTTAATGGATGGTAACCATCGACTTGCATTTTACGAATCGCTAATGGCTTGTTTTAACTTAACAGTACAGTTTGGTTCAGTACGATACACATTTATTTCTGTTTCCACCTTCAGAAATACCAAATTATTGAACTGTACCATACCACTTTTTTGGGATACTTTCATAAGGGTACCTAGCACAACAGTTCAGTATAGGGCTGCACAATTTATCATTTCAGCATCGATATCGCAACGTGCGTGTTCACAGTAGTCACATCGCATGTGTTGGGTTTATAATTGATCAACAATTGAAAATACATTGTGAAGGCATTGCAAAGTATAACCATAACAGAGTGAAACTTTATCATTTGCATGCTGTGTTTTAAAGGCATTTCAATAGAGGCACAGTAACGTAGGGGATGCTCCAATCAGGATTTTTGCAGCCAATACTGCGTACCGACTCTTTGTCATGATGATCGGCTGATACAAATACTGATTCTTATTCTTCAAGCTTTATATTATTTTGCAATTGTATAAGCACAATTACCTTGTAGGTATGTGATCTCCCCTTACCTAAGATAATAAATTAAGGATGTTGCATACATGTAATGGTCAGAAGCAGCTTTACAAAAAAAATAGATAAAACAGATAAAAACATGACTAACAACTAGGAAACATTGCTCATGTGTTGTTGTGCTGCTGATGCATAACCCGGGCGCGCACGAGCATTTTCCGTGACACTTGTGATTGGTTCATTAGGTCGGCCAGATCAACAAGTACAGATTGAGTCGTGAAATGTTAATATCTTCTGATATTGATTGAAGCATCCCTTCGTACAACATTTGTAACTTTTAATGAAGAATAAATTTACTGAGTTGTTAATGCAGTACAGTTTTATTTTCATTTTATTATTCAATTTTTGTATCTTAATGTTTGATTCTCAGGAGAAACCATAAAACACTTTTTTTTTTTGCTCTACTGTAATTATTCTTGCTTGCAATTTGTTTATTAACACATTTTAATAATCTGTTAACATCTTGTTATCTGTTTTTATTTTTTTTTTTTATATAATTAAGCACCTTGAATTACTATTGTGTATGAAATGTGCTAATATAAATAAACTTGCCTTGCCTTATTTTTGTACATGATTCACATCCTTACAAAATCAACCCAACCAATCTAAATGAATGATCCCCCCAAATAGAGCTATACAAGCTATCTGGTTCATATCGCAATATATATTGCAGAAAAACAAAATATCGCAATGTCTGATTTCTCAAATAATGTGCAGCCCTTCTATAGCATTGAGTTAGTCTCACTGTGGAACACTGATTGGTTTACAGACAATTGTTAGCTAAGAGAGCAACAAAACTGGAAGCCTCATTTTAAATACACAGCAAAAACACGACACTGTGATAATGCAATGACATCAATGAACCATAGTCAACCTGAAATCAAATAAAGCTTGTCATCTTCTTGTGACAGAAAGCCACATTCCAAAAGCATGAACAGGATCTTCTGTTTTTTTATGAGTTCTTTTGCATGTCACATCTAAAAATGTGTGGAAAGCGAGAGGAACACAGTTTTCTTAGTTTATTTGTGCACGCTTCATGATGCATGTCTACTTTTGAGTGTGCAAAAGACATGATATGTGAGTGATTGCTTCTTTGAGTGAGAATGCTGTCGGTCACAACATTCTGCTGTACACCACGCCTACCAAATAAGCGTACTATTGACAGTTAAAAGCAAGCCTGAATCATACTGTACTGAACCATACACTGAAAAAAATTGGTTCGTTGGGTTTACACAGTTTTTGTTTTTAGGTAAGTGGTTGCAAAGAATTTATTTGGGCTGAAATTAAATAAGTTGAACACTACTAAATTTAATTTGTTTAAATTCAGCTCATATAAATTGTTTGCAACTATTATAAAAATACATATACTAAAATACATATGTTTTCAGTGTACTGCTTAGTGGAAATGAGGCATAAGCTGTATGGTTTCAGGAAATCTCTTTTCAAACTATTGAAATATCTATTAAATGTTTATCGAAGTTTTAGTTTTTAGGTGAACTATCTCTTTAATGCACAATGGGTTTTAGAATGTAGCAGCTTTGTGGAATCTGAGACTGATGTTTCACTTTATCTGATATCGGCCTGCTGGTAATGGTGAGGTAATCTGCTGGAGGAGGATTATGGCGCTGTCCTACGTAGCTGTGGAACAGTGTGACCCTGAGGAAGTGACTCTTAGTAAAGCCTGTTCCTCTGAGTTATTGTGAATTTGAATTGCTGTTTACTAAATTTGTGGTCACATAGTGGTCAAAACTTCAGCTTTAGCAACAGTTCATTGTGGAAGTTTTTGTTCTCTATATATTTTTTTAACTTTCATATGCAAGTTGGAAATGTAAAGTCTAACAGACATGGGGCTAACCCTGTTTACTATGTTAATAATTGTATATCTCTATATAGTGCAAAATTTATTAGTATTTCTATAAAGAAAAGGTGTCAAAATTACACTATTGGAAATATGTAAAAGCGTATTTGAACTAGACCTTAATCTCATAGGCCCCGTCTACACTAATATGTTTTAGTTTTAAACGGGTTTCAGGATGAAAACGATCCACACTCACACGTCGGACAGTTCATCAAGAATTTTTTGCTAGATTTCATCTCACTATAGTTATCAAACGTATTATTTAATTCACCTTGTCTCTAGCTAATGGTCTTTTGAATCTATTACTTTATCTCAGGTAACGTGTTTTGGCTGAGCACAAAGATAAGTTAATATATTAATTTATGTAACCGTACACTGATTCTACATATTTAATTAATTGCTTGCTTTTATTTGCTATATTGTATAAACAATATTGTAAGGTATAATTTTATAATGGCCATTATTGATTATTAAAACTGATATTCAGCAAAAGAGACAGGAAGGGCTGTGCGATTTGGGGAACATATCTAATTTAGATTAAAAAAATATATATTTTTAACAGAGCGATTTTGACTTGATTTGCGATTTAATTTTGTAGTCAAACTTCGGCTCAATATTCTGTATCGTAGCTTCTTATTGCTAAAATGCAATGAGTGTTCGTTAAAAAAAAAAAAGGAACTGAAAATATTAACTTAAAATTTATTTATAAATATACAGAAATTAAACACTCATTTTCTCTAGAGCAAGCAGTAAGTGAGTTGTTAGTTATCTCCTGGTGCCTCCGTGATGATTTTTCATATGGTGTAATAGCTGCAAACAAGCTAGCTACTAGATTGAGTGTCACTGACAATACTTTTACTTTGACTTTTTAGCAAGACACTCCTCATTTAGTGATTCGATTTCGATTAATCGTACAGCCCTAGAGACGGGGTGTGTTTTATATTTTTCCATAAAAATGAAAGGAGGGAGTTATGTTATTGGCTCCGTTTTGTTATAAATATGTAAACAGTAAAGATGACGGCCATATAAATATGTAGCTACATGATGCTTCAACATTTTTAGTGTCTTTTAAGTTGTTGATAACAAAATGAAAATAGGCAGTTTATTATATTATGTTTTCATATTATTGTTAAGATAATAAAACAACGTAGCCAGGGTGATGTGAATGACATTTTACAGTACACTGTTTTTACCCGATGTGTCCTCGGGAGTTTGTTTTCCATATCAAACTTGTAAAAACTTAAGAAAAAGGTGCAACTCAAGATTCAACTTGAGTGTGTACTTAATATTGTGAAAAAGCTCCAATCAGATGAATGTTGAATGTCTGCAGCCTTGTCTCTTTTTTCAGATGTCTCCGTTTTCCTCCATCCACATTGACAGCAGTGTTTTAAAATGAAAACGGTCTCTAATGCATTTTCAAAACGCTCCGTTTTCGGCCCCCGAAAACTCTGGGGTAGTGTGAAGGGAAGGCGTAACTGCAAAACTGCATTTCAAAACTAAAATGTATTAGTGTAAACGAGGCTTCAATCACAACAAAAATAACTAATTATTTTATTAAAAGAATAGCATTTACTTAAAAAAATTATGTTTTGTAATATTATAATTTATAAATCTCTTTCCTGCAACTTTAATACAGTTAAGTTTTTTTCGCTGTAAAACCTCTGAGAAAAAAATATTTTTAATATTTTAGACATTAATATAAGTGATTATCCTTTTTTCACCCCTGAAATTTCATCACATTTTATCTGAAAAAAATAAGGATTAGATTCAAACTGTGAAAATAAATAGTATTAACATTTGAACAGCAAAATCTTATTGGGCAAAATCAAGTCTATCCAACCTCACCGTTTTCCTGCCAATTTTTCTATTCACTTATAAACGTGTAATTACAGCAGTTTAAATGCATCCTGAATGTCACTGTGTTGTTTTTATGAAGACTTTCACGCTTTATCGAGCTTGTTAAACCCTTTTTTGTTGTTGTATGTTTTTCTCTATGTTCTACAGGGGCCTGAGAGTGTGTGGCCATGGGTGATACAGAGCTGGAGCTTTCTCCCACCCATCTTGAGGAGCTACAGAAAAGCCCCTCTACCTCCACCACCTCCTCGCTGTCCCTCCCCTCATCACCCTCCTCTGGCCCACATCCCCTCACCAGCTCCAGCCCGAGCACCAGTGAAGGCTTGCCCACCTCCAGCCCCCCTCTGGATGTCATATCCGAAGGATTGGGTGAGCTCAGCCTTGTCATCGACACTGAGGTGGCCAAGAAAGCCTGCCAGGAAGTTCTCCAAAAAGTGAAGTTCCTGAAGGGCGATGGAGAAGTATCTTCAGCCAGCTCAGAGCCCATTTTGGCGAATGGCACAGCTCATCCCGAGGCCAACGATGGAGGACAACCTCCCAAGATCAGCGAGGAGGAAGTGGAGCCCATAAAGAGCGTGCGTCGTCGTCAGAAGAACAACTCCTCCAAGCAATCCTGGCTCCTGCGTCTCTTTGAGTCCAAGCTGTTTGACATCTCCATGGCCATCTCCTATCTGTACAATTCCAAGGAGCCTGGTGTGCAAGCCTACATCGGTAATCGCCTCTTTAGTTTTCGTAATGAAGACGTGGACTTTTACTTGCCCCAACTGCTCAACATGTACATCCACATGGACGAGGACGTGGGTGACGCCATCAAGCCCTATGTGGTCTACCGCTGCCGGCAGAGCATCAATTTCTCCCTGCAGTGCGCCTGGCTGTTGGGGGCCTACTCTTCTGACATGCACATCTCTACGCAGCGTCACTCGCGTGGCACCAAACTGCGCAAACTCATCCTGTCAGACGAGCTCAAGCCCTCCAGCCAGCGCATCCGCAGGGAGGTGCCGCAGCCTCCCCCTCCCTACCCCCCGCCCCTCCATCACGGTCCGGGCATGAGCGAACACAGCCTCTCGCCCTCCAAACGCACCCACCAACGTTCCAAATCCGATGCCACCGTCAGCATCAGCCTCAGCAGCAACCTGAAGAGAACCGCCAGCAACCCCAAAGTAGAGACCAGTCAGGATGAGGTGAGATGCTTGCACTGTCACATATGCTCTTACTTAGTTGGTTGTTTTAGCTCAACAGTGTGTCTGGCTGTCACTTCCACCTCCCGCTGATGTGGTTTCTCAGCTTTTTCATGCAAATGAGGAAGGCAAACTGCTCAGATTTGTGTTGTTTCTGTGGCTGTGCTGGAAAAGGTGTGTCAGTAGCCCCTTTCACACATACAGACCTTTATGGAAAATTACTGGCAATTTTTCAGAAAGGGATCATGTGTGAAAATACTGGTAAATTCGTTTTGGCAAGTTACCAGAAAGAGAAGTTGCAGCATTACCAGTAATTTGCGGGAATGCTTTACTGTGTAAACGCAGAAGAAAGATTAAAAAGAGTGTGTTCACGATTAGAACTCACTAATGTGAGACGTCTACTCCAACCAATCAGAACATTCAAACGCATTCACATCTGTGGTGAGATGAAAATAAAAGTCTTTGAATATTTTTCCAGACACATTTAGCTGGTAGATGTTAGTCAGATAACAGATTTCTATGTTCCTCCTTAATGCCAACAGTGTAAAAAATGATCGATAAAATGCTTATGACAAACTGCTGTGAGTTTACATTCACCAGCAATTTTCCAGAAAGGGATCATGTGTGAACAGGCCCTTTTTGAAAATACTGGTAAATTTGTTCCGGCAATTTTCCGGAAAGAGACATTGTAACATTACTGGTAATTTGCCGGAATGCTGCTCTTTGTGAACGAAAAAGGAAAATTGCCGTAAAGAGTGTATTCACGCTTATGCTCATTTATACTTCTGCGTCAACGGTGCAGCCATCGCGTGGACGCATAGCCGATGCGCGAGTCCGTTGGAGCGAGTGTTTACAAGTATCGAGACCCGTGAAGGAGCTTCATATGGAAAGTTTTGTTGTAACCTTATGGTTAAAGTTGTTGCATGTCAGCCGGTTCCTGCCTCAAAATGAGCGAGTTTGAGACACTTGTACATTTAAGGAAGCAATTAGAAATAACAAAACACCAGCGAAGAAACTCGACACAAAGGAACATAAACACCTTACGGCCAGCTAGCGTTTCAGAAGGGTTATTACAGAGGAACACAAACAACACTCAGAAGTATAAATGCACGGCTAAGCGCAAGGCTTGTACCGTGGGTCATGCTGATCACTTGACGCAGAGGTATAAACCAGGCTTTAGAACGCATTGACGTGAGACGTCTACTCCAGCCAATCAGAACATACAGATGCATTCACATCCACACGGTTTATGAAAATAAAAGCCTTTAAATATTTTTCCATGTATATTTATATTTTCTCATTTAGCTGCTAGTTGTTAGAAAGATAGCAGTTGTTAGATAGCAGATAACGTTTCTATGGTCATTCTTCATGCCAAGTGTGCACAAAATTAATGATAAAATGCTTATGGTAAACCGCTGTTTGTTTACCTTCAAGCTCTGCTTCAGTTGCTTGACTCCATAAGTTTTCATCAAGATGTTCACAATACTTATCCATCCAGAGAATTTGTAATGTCATCAAATGTGTAAACATTTAGCTGCGGTTCGCGCTTCTATCTTTGGATGTCTCTGACTCCTCCTAAGTTTACAAATACAATCGCAGCCATTTAGAGGTAATTTCTGGTTAATGTTGTCAGAATTTATCTTTATTTTGGAATGGATGTGTGAATGGTCTTTCCTGGAAAAATTCCGGAACGTCCTTGCCTGTGTGAACAGCACTTTTTTTATTTACCTGTAAGGCCGTACTCACACTAGGTACAGTTGCCTCGAACCGGGCCAAAGCACGCTTGTCCCCCCTCCCGTCTCCCCCGACGGCCCGCGCTCACACCATATCGGGCCTCGGCACGCTTACGTCATCGCTGCTGCGCTGTTCAGAAGCGCTCTCTATGGCAAGCCTTTTTAGCATTTAAATCTTTGTTCTGACTCCATAAATATATTAAGAGATATCTCTAATTATATTTTGACTAGTCATAATTATAATTCGACTAGTCAGAATAACAATTAGAGATATCTGCAATTGCAATTGTACTAGTACGAAATCAGATTGGAGATATCTGCAAATATATTATGACTAGTCATATTCCTCCATTGACTTCCATTAAAAAATATTTGCAGATATCTCTAAATGAGTTTTGACTAGTCACAATTGTAATTAGAGATATCTCTAACTGAGTTTTTACTAGTCATACATTTGGAGATGTCTTTAATTCGTAATATTTAGAGATATTTACAAATATATTTGAAGATATCTCTAATTAATTTACTAATAGTCGAATTACAGTTGTAGATATCTTGAATTGGATTTTTGACGAGTCAAAACTCAGAGATATCTGCAAATATTTTTCAATGGAAGTCAATGGAGGAATATGACTAGTCATAATATATTTGCAGATATCTCCAATCTGATTTCGTATATATAGAAGTATATATAATATAATATATAATTATATCTCTAAATATATTTATGGATAGTCAGAACAAGGTTTAAATGTTAAAACGGCTTGCCATACGCTCTCTCGCTCAGCAGCACAGTGGAGAGTTCTCTAGTTATATCCTTTCAGTCGTTTGTTATGCAGTGACATGCAGTCAAATATTTCGCCAAACAGTCCTTAGGGATGCCGTGACACGCAGTCAGATATTTTACCGAACAGATCCGCCACTTTTGGCGCTCATAAACAATCAAAGCTCTCGTGCTGCAGGAATGAGGAGGTCTGCTGAAGGCGCGCAGCTGGCGTGCTGTGAGGAGTTTGCGTCTTTAATAAACTACGGCAGTTTGCGATCACTGAACAGTAAGAATGATTAATAAATCCATATCAAACAGTCCCTTAAAAGTCACGTCTCGGTTTCGGGCTTTGGCGCGTTTCGTGCTCACACACAAGCGTACCGCGCCAAAGCCCAAGTGTACCGCGCTCAGGCACACCTCTTCCAACCGGGCCAGGGCCGGCCAAGTGAACCGTGCTTGAGCCCGATTCAGCGCACTCACACTTCTCAAACGATCCGGGAAACGGGCCTGGGCACGGTACGGATGGCATAGTGTGAGTAGGCCCTAAAGTTGTTTCGGTAATTTTCTGGTATCATGGGTATACTGCATTGATTCAACAAGTTAAACTGTTCTCTGATATCTACATAGTAGGTATGTGGCTTGGAGGAGTTCAGAAATACTCTATAAATGGTGTTCATCACCTTTCAAATTAGGACTGTGCAATTACATTTTGTTTTTGGCTTCCAATAATTATTTAAAAACATGATTTGCTGAATATTGCTATATTAGTTTGCATTTGTTCCTCCCAATTTGATGTGGAAATCTAAACAATAATGCAGTGTCACTTTTGCATCAAGGGAGCTTGTTGAAGTGCGTTTAATTTATTTAGGGTTTTAAAGCAGAAAGAGAACTTGTACTATTATGCACATGCTCTTACCCGCAGAGATGGAACAGAACATGCACATTTAAAGTCATCTTTTAGCTCAAGGTGCACCTAAATGTTTAAATACATGCAAAAATGCTTGGTGATTATTCACATAAACCTTTGTTTGGTGTGTTATAAATGAAAGAATTGAAAATGAAAATGTACATGTTACTGTAATTTTGATCTATGTGGCTCTTAAAATAACAGCAATATTCCTGATACCGACTGTGCTTATTTCAGCAAGTAGGATGACTAGATCTCTGTTTTAGCTCTGTGAAAATAATTAACTGCTGCTGGCTGATTCCTGGAAAAATGATGACATCTCTTCTGTTAAGACTGTTCCATGCCCTCCCTTTGTGTTGATTTGCACAGTCATGATAACAGTCCTCAGGGCTAAAAGCCATGCCATTAACAAATCACCTCTCATGCTGTTAATAAGTGGTCTGTTGCAAATCACAGATTCAGGATTAGATCCGGGGTCAATGCAGAAGACTGATCACATTCTGTTTGTACCGTGTGCATTGATTATTATTTTATGATGGGTGATTCCTGGTGTCTGACAGCAGATGAATTGTTGCATTTGCTGAGAAAATTAAAATGATTTTTTTGCTTAAAGCATGTGCAAATGTGTTTACTGACAGGTAGATTTAAGTAATAAACAAAGTAGTCTTGATGTACTTAAATGAACAAATATTAAGCATTTTAAAAGGTAGATTTTGAATAGTAACTTTAAAAAAAAAGTTTTACAAGGGATGTCCAGATCTGATCACGTTATCGGAAATCGAGATCATGAAATCGGTTGCCTTCCGATCAGGACTCAATATATATGTATATTAGGGGTGTGACAAGATCTTGTATTACGCGATCTCGCGAGATTAAATTGCGACGAGATTTCTCATCGAGGTGAACAGTTTTCGTGAGGTCAAGATGGTTGCGCTTGTCACTCGGTTGGGCGGGCAGGTGTGACATAACCGCTTTTTTCAACAGAGTTCAGAGTGCCGCTTTCAACATAGACTATAACTGCAGCTACACACATTATGGTTCATGTGCATGCTATAGAATAGCACTTCAGATATGCTGAAAGTCATAATCGTCATAATCACAAATGGAATTAGGACATGTGGAGTCCATCATTGAGGATTTTCTAATAATAGCAGTGTTTTCTCTAGGATTTTTTCCAGCTGTGGCAGCAGGCCTTATTTTACATAGATCTACCAACTACCTCTGTGGCGTTATTATTTCAATGACAAATGTTGTGAGCGCAGTATTAGAAGTCGAGATCGCATTTACAGGGGTGATAGCGTTCCGGCACCATTTCCGACGTACTGTGGCTGCGAGGGGAAAAAAAATCAGGTTCACGGATATTGATCTGTCATTTCTCTAGATTCACAGAATTCACTCACTGCTGAAAGCGCCGGATTGGTTTTTATTAAGTGCCATTTTGTGTGCTCGTGAATCATCTTTTGAGTGTAGACGCCATGTAAATAAAAGATTAATTGTGTAATTTAGAGAGCTTTATAAATTATATCGGATCTTTGTGAGATATGAACTAAGATTAGTGACGCTTTTTAGTGATAATAAGAGGAGCGTTCTTTGCACT